TCCTTTTCCAGCGCATTGATGGTGGATCCCAAGGAGATTCACGCCACTTTCCGAGCCAATCGAAAAAGGTTAATGTTCCAACGACTGGTAAGAAACAAGCCTAAACGATTTCCAGTGTAAAAATCTCAAAATCAATTGCGAAATCAGTAAAAAAGGCGTACCAGAAGGAATACTTGCCATATGTTCTCGAACTTATGTGCCATGTCTTCACTGGATGACTCTGAGTACCCCTTTCAAAAGTGAAAAATTGAGGCATAAAGGTTGCTAGTAAATGAGTACTTCAGCAGAAAAAAGTAGAAACAAGTGGACATGGAAGTAGAGATGATGGGCCCGATTCACAGACAAACATTCTGTTCAGATTCAGGCCTTTGAAAACAAAAAACCAACATCGAACTACTGTAGCAGATAGCATTTATATAAAAAAGGTCCTACAAAGAAAATAAGTCTTCATTGCTGCAAAAATACTATAGAATTGATGCTTTTGAATGCATTATCATGAGGGCACTCTACAGAAAGTGAAGTCGAAATACAGTCCAAGCTATTATAATTGCTGCTGTATTCAGTGTCACAACTCTTATAGTCGGAATGCCAATTTCAATTTCAATCAGAAGCCGAAAGTTGCACCTTTCGAAAGATGCCTAGATAGAATGAAAGAAGCAGCATAAAATGCTTGGAGTGAACCCTGTTCGTGTTACCTGCTCATTTACCTCAGCGATTAGATGAGGAGGGTCAGACCTGTCCAGAAGATCCCCATCATGATTAGATGAAACACAAGGCCCGAAAGCCCTCTGTTGAACAGAAACAATGGATTTTTCCAGCGTTCCAAGAGTGGCGACTAAACGAAGAAAGGGAAAAACACAACTTCCATGCAGGAATGAGGACAGACATTCTCAGGTTCTTGAAGGGATCCGAAGCTATACAGGATAGGCACGACATATTTACAAATGATTTGAGGAAATTTATGCAAAAATTGATCTCTACAAAAGAATCGCTTGCTCGTTGATAATCATTGACACCACATTTACGACGTAACCAAAGCTCAGCCTTAATTTCGCTGCCATTGCATCCTTTTGTCTCGATGTTGCCATATTTCATCGTTTATTACGTTACGTCCCTCCTAATATACGCATTCAGGGGGTGGAATTACCAAAGGGGCGTGGCTGTCTACCATCAAACCCTAATCCCACCGCTTTTGAAATGCCACATAGGTGTCTCCAAGTACCCAGGCACCTTTTCCATAGCCTGCCTTGCACAACACGGCACTATCCGGACTATATCTCAAAATCCCACGCTGTTTCTCAGCTACCTCCCAAATTCTAGATGCTAGTTGCTAGTTATAGATAACAGAAAAGCCCTTAATCCAAGGCGATGATGATGTTCCGGCACAGTGACCCAGATGGCACCATCTGACCCACTGACGGGCTTTCCAAATGAAGTGATCTGGCCTTTCAAATACTAGCCTGCGGAACACGGCTGTACTGTACTACGAAAACAAAGCATATGCCTTCAAATATACATGCCTTCGGATTATGTTTGATGTGAAGAGAAACATTTTTCTTTGAGTCTACCATTTGGCATGGTGTTTCAAGAAATTGTCTTGTATTTGGGTGAAATGACTAAGCTCAGGCATGTCATGAAATTCGAGGGCGTTGAGTGGTAAAAGTTGATTAATACGATTCAATTTAATTTCCCTTTTATTTCGCAGAATGGTGACGACACTATTTACGTATTTGACAAGGAGATCCAATACGAGAACTTTCTACACCAGGAAAAATACAAGTGTACAATACAATACAATGAAGGAAAATCGGTTGTCCCATCAAAAACGAGACAGTTGTGCTGTAGGAATGAGAATGAGTACATTGAGAGAAGAAGCAGACAAAGAATTTCATTATCATCAAAAACAACGTATTATCATGAATCATACTCGTAGGAAAAGCGAGAAAAAAACATCTCCTTCATGCAAGGAAGATTTTCTGGTGGTCCGAGTGACTTGTGATGCCCAATCGCAAAATTTTGTCTTGCACCAGCAGCGACAATGTTTTTAATCCCCGGATTTCTCCACAGAATGACCTCTCATCAATGTACTGGATACGCTTCACCAATAGTCCAGCTCATACGTCAAAACCACTAGAGAGTAGGAGTTCCACATCAAATGGTATCTGCTAGCTAGCTGCTGAGCTAGCGGAAATCAGTATTATGTCTTGTAATGTTACCGTACATCACACTCAGATGGACTAGAAGACCGCATTGGTTTTCAATGCCTCCCTCTCACTTTATTCAATGGATGTATCGCATTTCATGCTGGTCACATAGAAAAATCTCTTAGCGATGAGGGACAGAGAAAGTCAGAGAAGACAGGGAGCATATTGAGTGAGCACTGCTGATCAAGGTAGTTCAATAGAGAGCAGATCAGGCTAGGCCCACATTGAAGCATCCGTCTGAGCAGGCAGCGGCCAACGCTGGCGAGCAGTATCAACTACTTTGTGAGGTTGTAATAATGACATACAGTAATCTAGAATTAAGCTGAAGTCATACCCACTGGCGAAGGATTCTGGGCTGATTATCCAATTCATTTCAGATTTCACCCAGGCCCAACCAACAGAGCCGACGTCCTGTGTATGTAGCCGTAAGAAGTTAGAAGTAACAGGTAGTCAGCGATGAGAACACCTACCAACTGCATGGGGTGGGACTTGCACCCAGTTCTAGTGAAACGTACAACCATTATCAGCCACAGCTGTGGTCAGTCCTTGTATAAGTCAGTGTTTTCATTCTCCCACACGGGTAAAATATCTATTAACCGGTCTCGAAGAGATGGAAAAGTCGTTTTGCCTGGGCGAGCATCGGTTTGGAGTTCGATCCTCGTGCCGTATGAGTGTTATACGTAGTGTGTACCACCAGCCACTATACAACCACAAAGTTCGAATTGTAGTAGGTAAATGCATGACTTATTTTGCAAGAAAAAGTCATTTCCTTCATATTCCTTTGTGTTATTCATACGCTTCTTTAGATTTCAAGCGCACGGGAGTACAAACTTCATTATTCGCTCAAATGGAAGTGTTGATTCTTTTCACTTTCGTTTCCAGTAGATCGATGTTGGATCCCAGGGCGATTCAATCCATTTGAAGTAGAATGATGTTCCAACTGCTGGTAAAAAACAAACCTAAACGATTCTAAGTGAAAAATCTTGAAATCAATACGAACACTGAAAAAAAGCATACCAGAAGGAATACATGCCTTATGTTTGTGAATGTAACTGCCATGGCTTTGCTGGGTAACTGTGAAAATTCCTTCCAATGTATGAACGGGATCGAAAAGTGAAAATTGGAGGCCTAAAGATTACTAGTAAATGAGAACTTTAGCAGAAAAATTATTCAGAAACAAATGGACACGGAAAGCAAAAGTGACGACTTCGGCTACAGACAGATATACCGTTCACGTTCTGGCTTTTGAGAACGAAATATTAGCTCTGAACTACTTCGGAAGATAGTAATCAACTTAAAAAAGGTATCCAAGGAAAAGTGAGTCTTCGATGCTGCAAAAGTCCTTTGGAGTTGATGCTTCTGAAGGCATTAGCATGAACAAATGCCGCCAAAAAAAAACTAGGAATACAGTTTAAGCTATTTCAATTGCCACTGTGTTCACGGTCCGTCCGAACACTTCTTGACGGAATATTAATTTCAATTTCAGTCACATGTCGAAAGGACTGAGCCACTCGGAAGATGGCCTAAAGAAACTGACAAAAGCAATATAAAGACTCCACAGAACATACATTCTCGTGTTACCACGTAACGAACCTTCTGATAATAAAGGACCGCAAAAGATGATAAGGACAGCCACGAACGGAGCCAGCGAATCTCTTTTTTTTGAGATCTGAGGCATGAGTAGAATGTAGACCTAGACAGACTGAAAACCCATGAATATAATCAATCCCGTTCTGGAGCGCCCACGCATGCTCGAGCTCCATTAAGACTGTATGCTCCAGGAAAAATAACATGAGAGCAGATATTTGGCGAAATTCATGTAACGCTCAAGAAACAAAACACCCCAGGTGTGTTTGAAGAATTTTGAAGTTTTGCAGGAGAATTACGACATACTTGCAAATGACTGGAGGGACTATTCGAAATCTACGTAAAGTCAACCTTCTGAAGGAGTTTACTCGCTCGTTGGTTATTATCACATCACATTTATGACGTAAAAAGTTCTGCCTTATTTTTGTACGCGTGGTATCTTTTCCTAATCTACGAACGCGTGGGCGGGACAACCGAAAAAGGCGTGGCTGCCTACCATCGAATCCTCAATAAGCTGTCTCCAAACTGTTACAGAGGTTCCCATATGCCTGGTTAAGCCTTCCATAGTCTGTCCTGCAGAACTCGGCCGTAACGGATCCTTTTAGCATCCTCCACTGGTCTCAGGTCGAATAATAATTTAAAAAAAAANCAGGTCGAATAATAATTAAAAAAAAAAAAGATCAAGTGTTAGAAATAGGTAGCAGGAAAGCTCCTGACCCATCGCGGTGATGATGCTTCAGCATAGTGACCTAGATGACACCATTTGACCCATTTTCAGTGGGAAAAAATTCATTGACGGGCTCTTCAAATGAAGTGATCTAGCCTTCCAGATACTAGCCTGCGAAACCTTACCATTAGTGCACACGAAAACACAGTCTATGCCTTCCAATATTTATCTATTTACGTATTTGACAAGGAGATCCAATACGAGAACCTTTTACACACGAAATAATACACATTTTTTTTTTTTGATGCAACACGTATCATATGAACAGGACAATCATAGCTGTACAGAACTTCACGGAAAATTGTAAATCGTTAGAAAAAAATCGGTTGTCTTATCGTAAACGAGACAGTTGTACTGTAGGAATGAGAATCAGTACTGTGAGAGAATTGAAGCAGAGTAAAGAATGCCGATATCATCAAAAACAACGTATTATCATGATTTATACTCGTAGGAAAACTGAAAAAAATCCACTTTCATGCAATTCAGGAAGATTTGTTTGTGGTCCGAGTGACTTGTGATGTTCCATCGCAGAATTTTGTCTTGTACAGCACATTCGCATGATTGAACATGCCTTCTTTCAATGACACAATAATGAACTGCAAATAAGACTGGTAGAAAAAAAGAAATGGAGAAAAATGAACTGGAAAGCTTCCTAGAAAGGTCTGGAAATTCAAAAGCTTTCGGATAATTGCTTCGGTTTCGTGAAAAAAAAAACAAAACGTTGGAAATACTTGAGTAACAGATTATTTCTGATTCGCACTTCAAAGAGCATGAACTGGCAGATGAACCTAATAATTCACCTTTTTGATAAAAGAGAGTTGATTCATGGATCGTAAATTGGGGGACAAACGAGCTATACAGGAGGGTATTACTTGTATGCCTCCCTATGCAGTCCACCGATCATAGCCCTGCACCAATGTATCTGTACTTGAAACCCTCCTAAAATAGTAACCAAAGGATTAGTTTGCACAACTATCGCCTGCGGAATCGTGACTAAATCTTTGTCCTGCACTGAACTCGAACTTGCCACTATGCTCCACTAGCACGCCATATATTTCCATTTATTTACTCATTTACTTCAGATTGAGTTGAGAAACGTTCAATTCAGAGGCAACCAATAGGCCCTTTTAATTCTTTTCTTTGAAGAGTTCAACCTTCCAAACTCTAAAATCTTAACTGGATGATGAGATACATAGACTGCTAACAGCTCGATCAAATATTTTGGGAAAACGCAATTTTCAATTCAAAATGACAACTACTTGATCATCAGGATAACACTTTGCTGCATAAAGTAAATTTTATCAGTTAAAGTATAAAAGCCAGAAAAACTTGAATAATTAGTCGTCATAATTAATGTTGCCCTACCCCGCCTACGCGACGGACACAACTCCACGTCCATTTGAGACTTCCACGCGTCAAGCAGTCTCCCCCGCGAAGCAATTTGTAAAGTCCGAAGATAACATTAGAAATGTACTAAAAATATTTTATGTCAAGGACAGGCTTCTTCCAAAAAAAGGGCAGTACCAATCTATCAGAAAGATGGAAAAGGCTCGTGAAAGGCGCAGAATAAAAAGCTGCAGAATAAATAGAATCACAATACAAACTCCAAAACTAGGTAATGGTACAGTTTACAGTGCTTTAGCTGCAGATTTTACGCGTACTTCGACATTATTGATAATCTTAGTAACCGATAATAATCAACTATATCTAGCAATAAGACGTAATTTTTGATCCCCCAATTAGCAACTCATGGTGAAAAGGCACTGCGCACCAATTCTGTCAATCCCATCCGTATCAAAACAGTAAAGCAATAATCCAAAGTGATGCAGTTGGGATGGAACCCAAATTGAAATAAATGCTTCAACCCCCTCCCCATCCTATTCGAATTCGATAACTGTACACAAAAAACACTTTTCAAATGTTTTCAGAATCCCAACTAGGGACAAGACACACGGCGCAATCAGCAGGTATTGATTACCGCTACTGTTTCGACCAGTGCTCCAAAATAGAGCGATTTAGGTAAGTTGCCGAGATTATGAAAAATTTCCTTTTCAGGAAATTTGGGCACAGTTATCAATCAGTAAGCAGCAGTCGCCTATGCATTTCAGATGAATGGTTGTCATACATATGTCCCAGCTTCTACTGTCTCATCTATCCGATCAATAGTACCCTTCAAAAATATTTGAATTTTAATAATAAATAATTGAATGATATGAGCATTTCCACCTGGAGCCGAATGAGTCCCAACTCATAATTCTTTACAAATTCATTTTACCCTAAATTACCAGTCCCCTACTTGTGACATTCCATAATAGGCCTTCACCCATGCCCTTCAGCATATGCTGCGTCTCTGCCACAGCTCAAATGTAAACTTGTAAACACTAGGCTCTTCTGAAGCAGACACCCTTAGGGAATGCCCAAATCGTCACTTCTCAAGGCTGCCGGCCGCTTTTTAGAGCTTACTTCGCCGCCTACTAAGCTCCTCTCGCTGATATACAGAGGACTTCTCTGTCGTTTGAAACTTTTAAGTAGCATGCCCGTAGAATCGAATTCTATCACGAATTTGGTGCTCAACATTTGAGCAATGAGTGAATTCCCTTCTAAACTAAGGTCTCACACTTACACCAGTCATAATCNTGTTGAACATGGCCAATAGAGCCTTTCAACTCAACCTCCGTTATTTTGATACCATCCATTATAACTGATGTTTCTTTTCGTTCTTTTTCCTAGTTGATCAATTCAATTTGGGATGCGCCACGCACTGGACTTCCAATTATACTCATAAAGGGCTATTTGGATTTTGGATGTGCATCTGACCTATCCAGTGAATGAGGTGGTGAACCCATGTACACGTCAGCGTTTTTATCCTCATAGACTATTTTGGCACCATCATTCGATCCCTCCATCTGGGCTTGCTTGTCCTGGACGAGTATTGTCCCGGGATTCGATCCACCAACCTTGCAGGTAATTTTGAGCTACTTCGCACAAAGCCACCCCAATGCAAAGTCTGGCAAAACAACTAGCAAAAGGACCAAAACTGTTGATTACCTGGCTAGTTGTGAAATGTTTCTTGATCATGTGGCCAATGTTCTGGGTATGCGACAGATCCAAAGCTGCATCAACTTCATCCAAGATATAAATTGGAGCTGGTCTGAATTTCAGCATGGCCAAAACCAACGACAAAGCTACCAGTGAACGTTGTCCTGAAAAATGCCAAATGATGTTGGTAACAAATTGTCCTACGCCGGCGAGAAAGCTATACTAGGCTGCTTGACATGTATGGATTTATGCCATTCCGCAGGCCATTCTGCTTGCTAAGCCAATCGGAACGGCAGAAGGAGCAGACTTGGAAAGGTTTCCTCATGCATATATTTTTCATTTAAATGTGACAAACAAGTTTTTTTTTGCATTTCTACCCTCCTGTTTTCCTCAACTCTCTCTACCCCTCTTCAGATACTTCTGAATAGGCAAATGTCGTTTACAAGTACATTCTCAGAACAGCATTATGAAATGACATCCAACTATTCGATATCCTCAAATAGAGTGTGCTATTTACCTCCTGGTAGGCAGGTACTTTACCTAATACACTTGCACAAGCCAATCTCCCGTAACGTTCCATTTCCTTACCTCCAGATAGTTCTTGAAGCGATTCTTTCCATTTGCCATTGAAAGCAACCTTCACTTCAAGTCCTTGCTCAACTGTTTTTCCAGCTGGTGGTTCGACTTTAGCCGAAGCACCGGGTAGCAGTGTTGAGAAGATATTTCCGAAATCCTTGAAAAAAATCTAATTTAAATCAAAAAGTGCTTAAACTTAACAGGCTCTTACCCGATTCACTTGAGCATGAGCTTTGTGAATNCAACCTTCACTTCAAGTCCTTGCTCAACTGTTTTTCCAGCTGGTGGTTCGACTTTAGCCGAAGCACCGGGTAGCAGTGTTGAAAAGATGTTTCCGAAGTCCTTGAAAAAATATAATTTAAACCAAAAAGTGCTCCAATTCAACAGACTCTTACCCGATTCACTTGAGCATGAGCTTTGTGAATTTCTTGCGTTTTCTTGATATCCAGCAGAGCTATCGTGTCCAGCAACTTCTTTTTATCGATAGCTATTTGTTCCTTCTTCTGTTTCAAGCCGAGTACCTGTAGATCACTTGGATGCAGCTCGTTCCTCTTGAAAAAATCTAGTTTTAAAAGAAAATTCACTTGTTCTTCCACTTGCGACAACACTCCCATGGCTCTAGTGTTCAGATTTTTGCCCAACTCATTTTTTCGAGCTTTCATATCTGCGATTTCCTTCGAGGCCTTCTCTTGTGTGTATCTGAATTAATAAATTTTAGACATCCATTCCTTACTTTATCATTCCTCACTGTCGCCCAGACAAGTAACGGAATTCACCCCTGTAGGAATCAATCACCATCCAAACCTTATTTATGGATAGCATGTCACAAGCTACGTATCTGTCATGAAATTCCAATTGTTATGCATAATAAAAAATATCCCGATAAACATCTAACAACGAATGAGCAATTGTCGAGCTGCGACAGCTCAATTAGGCTTCCCATAATTCAAGTTGTGCTTGTTAAAATATGACTTCCAGGTTTTTTCGAAAACGTCTACACCAGATAAATCAAAACCCAGGGATGCCTGAAGGGGAAATGGTAAAGGGAAAAGGAAGAGAAAAAGTTCATTGAGGTCCTCATCCTCGATGCATCCACTCCCTTTCTCATTATTTTGCCATGATAGTTCTTTCCTGCCATAGGCGTTTCCCAACGAAAATTTCATTTGGGCAAAACTGAAATGCAGATAATGGCCCACCCAGTAAAATCGTATTCGGTTCCTTTCTTTCCGAAATGAGCTTTCTCATCAGTTATCCATGGATGAGCTTTAGCTTTGTGATGAGCCTGTAATATTAGAATAGCGAATGGGAATGCAAATGAAATAAGTTTCGCAATAAAAATAAGTTCATGTAAACTTTCAACAAATAAACCAACCATTTTCTTATACGAAACAGCATCCTCTTTCGCTTTTTCTATATCCGTTTCTAGGGAAGCTTGTTTTGACTTCTGAAAAACCCACATTTTTCATGATTCCTTTGAGACCAATCGTCCATCAATAAACTGACCAGCTTGACAATCCTTTTGTTTGTCACGTCCACTTTGTCTTGATGTACTTTGATGTCCTTGTCAAACTCTCGGAGCTCTTTTTCAAACTTCTTTAGAGTGGCCTTTGCAGCTTCATGCGCTTGCTGTAAGATTTCCATCTCATTTTCAACTTCTCCAAATTAGATCGTTTTTATTAGATTTCTCAGATTTAAGATCGCCGAATTACTGGGAGTTTCACAGTTACTTCGTAACCGGCTATTGAAACTTAAGCACCTCCTGAAACTCGTCCAAAGCCAGTAGACACCTCATAATATATAGTTTCTGTCAAATTTCGATCCAACAATAAGATTAGGAAGGAGGAAAAGACTAAGAAGAATTCGGGAGGTAAGAGCTGAGCTTGAGTTCATCCTTTTCCCTTTTTCCCTCTCAAAAGATACCATGAAATACGGGGTACTTGAGTTTTATGGGGATTCTCTACACTCGAAACTACGTCGTGGAGTTCCGAGAGGGCATCCTTTTTCATTCAAATTGATGACCGTATTTCTTCCGGAAGGGCGCTGTTATTTTGTCCTTTCACTGCCACTATCTGAAAGTTGGAGTTGGGCCCATCATCAGTGGAAAGCACTAAACTCTAGAAATGACTTACAAGACAGCAGGGAAATGGCCGAGGACACTGAAAAGCTACAACTCAAACTTCAGAAACCCAGCAGTTTAACCCATATAGCCTCGTCTTTCCTAATGAGTCCTTTTTGGCCAACAATTTTCTTGGCAAAAGAGTATCTCCCGTTCGGCTTTGCCTGGTCCCGCTAGTCAAACGTTCTTTTTCGCATCCTGCTTGGTTTACCTGTACCGACTTTACCAGAACGTGCGAAGGTGGAATGTGCGCGCAACTCTTTCTCCGTGAGTAAACCTCTCTGTCTGACTAGATCCTTACTCTTACCAGAAATATAATTTTACCATACAGTGCATTTACATTTACATTCCCTACATTTAGAACTGGGATATTTTCTCTAGCCAGAAAAGGCTTCAACAGGATTCTTGAATTGAGCGTTGAAAACAGTCTCACCAAAAAAGACTGCATTCTAGTGCAACAGCTATGAGCTGCCACATAAACAACATAATCTCCCTTGGGTAAATATGCCGTTTGCCATCAATCATATGGGCCACTGATAGGATGGAAACAAAGAATGGCTTTGGAAGTTTCTTCACAACTTCCAAAGCCAACTTCCAACTTGTTGAAGCTGCTAAAACACCTCACACGAAGGGCACCCACCAGAACCGTGAACAAAGTTGAAGAACTGTTATCTGTGTAGCCCCTGAGGAGTACTGTATTACCATACCACCCAATCTTCTTGAAAACATAAGATTCAGTTCAGGTTATGTTGTTGTACCTAGGCTATCACAAACGACATTACAGCATTACAAAGAATCCATAAAATGCTGCATAGCCAAAACAAAATTGTAAAATTACTGTAATAATTACAAACATTTAGTAATTACTCGAAACATTACTCTGAGCAACTAATCAAAAATTTCTATCGAACGCTTGGGGAAACTTTTTTTCCTGAAAGGCTATGGGTGAAGAAAGGTTTGAAAACCCCACCTGTGGCCAATAATTACTATACGTTTTTCATAAAACGCCAAAATAAAAATTTAACTTAAAAAAGAACAAAATTGTATAAATGTCAAGAAAAATTGAAGAAAGATACATCCTGTGCCAAAAGCTTACGCAACTGAACTCCTACCTCAGCCACTTTCCTCCGCTCATCGATAGCTGCTATTCGGTCATGAAATTCATCCACTCGACTTTTCGACGACAACAACGCTTCTTCTTCTTTTGCAATTTGCTCTTTCATCGTTGCCAAAGTACCTCTGAACGAACCCAATAAAGAATTAGCATGAAAATGAAACATGTTTCCAAAAAATTTCGAAAAATTGGCATACCGAGTGCTGGTCAGCGAATCGCTAAGCTTTTCAAAATCACGTTTTGCTTGCTCCAAACGCTTTTCAGCCGCATCGGACTCTTTCTGAGCAGTTCTTTTGGCTTTCTCCTGAAAGAAATTAATTTTTATTCATGAACACAGTATCCCTCACAAAGTAAAATTCAGCTCCCTCCACTAGCCATGTCATTTTCTTTTCGTAGCGATACATGGAAAAATTTATTATTTACTTTTCTCTAACAAACTCCTTTCCTCCTCCCTGGCTTATTCACACGCACTACTGCAATGATGTAATCTGTGCTCCACTATGGAGTGCTCATGCAATTCTAGCCTCTATGTACATTCTGAGCGTCTCAATGTTTGCTTATGTATAGTAATCATCTAAATGTCCTGAGACGTTATCCAAGCCTACTTCGTCCAGCTCTCCAATCTCCAACACAACCTTCACTCATCTCTCAAGCACCCTTTACACTGATGCCTGATTGCGTGCATTGTGAAGAGGCTTCTACTGGGAACGAGGTCTTCATATTCCCGAAGGATTCAAAAAAATTATGGAAGTATCAAGCTAAATTTATTTATATTTGTAGTTGTATCATATTTTTATAAGCTTGAGCTTCCGAAATTCCATAATAGAAACATAGTGACCATAAAAAAGGAGCGCCAACTAAAGTTAATAGTCACAGGGTAACCTAATGGTTACTCACCCAAGATGAAGTACCTTCCCAAGGCTACCTCACTTAATCCCCCTTGTGAAACTCTGTTCTCCACATTGATGACACGAGGGAAATGAGGTTTCGCCGCAACCTTCATTGTTCCACAAGTCACTCGGCTCTGATTTATGCTTTGGCTATAAAGGAAGAAATCGAAATCCCCATTTCCGCAAAAGCACGTCCCTGGAAAGATAAGACCAAACGGTAGCGTATTCCCGTTCTAGACCCTGAGGAGGATATGAAAGTTTAACTCTGAGGAGTAGTCAAACAAACACATTTGCCGCACAGCGTCTGATTCCAACAACAACAAACAACCACTTCAATCTGCCTAAAACCCTCCTTTTCTTCATTCAGAGCTCTGTGACGCCACCAAATCGTTCAGCATAATTGTCTGCGGAGCACAAATAAACTATGACCATTTTTTAGCCAGCATCGAGTCTCTTTTAATCCATGACTTCGCCTTTCGAAGGTCAGAACCTCTGAGATTGTTTTTTCATAGACGTGATTCAATACCAATTCGGCCGTGGAACATCTCATAAAGCGGTCGGGAGGGGAAAGAAAACAGATGGTGCATAAGCACTTAACAATGCAGAGCCTGATGAACAAGAGATGTGAAACATAGACTGGGTAGAAAAGGAGCAGGGGATTGCGGCTAAAATTACTGCGATACGCTGGTTTAGGAGGCCGACTGAAGGATATTAGTAATAACTAGAAATACAAACATAAATATGAATGAAAAACGGGTTGGATGGAGGTAGGGTAAGGCCAAGGAGGGCGATACCACGTGCAATACCAATGGCTAGTAAATCGAAACTTGGCACCGTAGAAGGATAGATTTAGGTCGACTGATTCTAAGCCTACCACCGTTGTCGTTCGGAAGTATTGAAGCACGCTCGTACAATGAAAGGCTCCCGCAGGTAGAAAGCTTATTCTTTCCTATCAATTCCATTTCTTCCTAATTATTACAAATTGATAGATATTAATAAAAGTATGTAATCAGTGTCGGACGTCAATGACATTCTTCGATTTGGGCACTTAATATCAAACCTCCAGCGTGGAGGCAATAAATTATGTTCCATTTCAGTGAGTATTTCTCATAGCACCACATCCCTCATACAAAGAAATTAGTTTTAAATGAAATGAAACCCGAATGCTTTACGTATTCAAAAATTCAAAAAAAGATTAAAAAACCTCCACAAACGTTTCTACTTTTTAACCCACGCCAAAGAAACCTACCAATACGTTAAAGATATACCAAGAAAAACACAATAGTCTGAATATATACCAGAAATAACGGCCAGCTAGACCACTATTTTTACAACTGGTGCAGCCAGTGGCGCAGTTCCGAGGCACCATCTACCCTTTACGACATCACACCTCAGTCTGAGCTAAGCTTTTCTTGATATTTGCCCAGGGAAGTCGAGAGGTGGGATTTCGAAAGGAAACTTGAATATTGGAATGAATACTTAGGCAAGATCCATCCACTTATCACCACCGTCTAACGCAATACTCATTGATACCGTGATACTCAATATTCTTCGGAGCAGGCTTCAAATCTCATTTGATTAGAGGAATTGGTCCAGAGTAGAATGATCCGTTCGACCCACCATAATCTTGTCCGTCTAGGGGAGAACACCCTAAAGGGGCTAGTGCTCATGAGATTGGGACCACGTTTCTTAAAGCCTAAAAAAAGTAATATTTCTCTCCAGAAGGTCCAACCATCTCCAGGACCCACTACTCAACCCCAAGGGGCTTTAGCAGCAGACCCCCGACAGGGACGTTAATGGCTATCAAACCTACCGGAAACATTATTTATATCAGCTAAACTGGGCGCTCTGTTACAATTTCCGTCCCCGATAACAAAGCTCGAGAAGAATCAAGCCACAGTATCAAAGTAAAAATATCGCTAATTTTGGAATCGCGAGAAATCTCACGGTCCCGTCAGGGGACAAAACACTATGTTGATGCCGAGACCCATAACTAATTAGATGCTGACTAGTTTTTGCTTCATATTTTCAATTTTTTTGTTTTCACTATATTAGTCCCCATTCCAAAGGTTCCTACCGTATAAAAAAGTTCGATCCAAGCTACTAGAGCGGCAACTGAGCTACTGCGGATATTTAAAGAAAACCTTTTTTCACAAAGAATTACTTATAAAGTTTTATATCAATAATAAAACGCAATATTTCTGTGATCTAGAAGTGTAGAGCCCTTCGAAAAAAAAAAACTTCCCCAGTGGCTTGCCAGGGTTGATATCGGATTGGAATTGACATCTGATCTATGACCGAACCATTTCCAAAACCAAGTGTACAAAAACTATCCAACTACACCCGGGAGACACCCTGGGAGGCTAGAACACCCACGAAGATTATTTTCTCAGTCATCAAATAGCCAGACACAGTGGCTCGTCGGTGTAACACTACATATGTTCCTCCCTTTTGTTTAACTATGCCACCAGCTTCTACGAATGTGCTCGAAACTCTAATAAATGAAAAGTGGGCATGACGTAGAGCAGCTGCAAACTCTTCCTTTCCCACTGCCATCTCCTCTTCAATAAGCGCCCTTCTTACTAGACATCAGACATAAAGGAAAGACGGAAAAGCGCACTTCCCTTGCACTCCTGCGCTTATTCGTTTCCTTGAGAATAATGCACTCTGCAATTCTCAAGGGTCCAAGGTCCTTACCTACTCCCGCTTACTTGGACGATCTATTACAAGTTACTCGGACAGAAGTATAAGTTGTAGATCCTCAGAATTTTCATGGTTATTTCTGCCCCATCCTTCAGCAAAAACTGCCATTTTTTCCGTTTTGATGAGAAATTGTTATCGCCTTTGCCCGTATTCACAGCGAACAACAACGGCCCTAATTCCCTTCCATTTTGATTAGCGGTATTTCAGGATTGCAATTACTTAACAACCTTTTGCACTGTTAAAAATTGGCACCAGACTCTTCTACTATTGAAAAAAAACTGTTGTTCAACCACTGTCAGTCATATCTTCCAGAAGATAATAACGAGGGGCGTGAATGGGGTGTTCCAGAGCAAATCCCATGCGACCGGCTAGTCTTTAGCGCTCGTGCCGCATTCTCTTAGTGAATGGCCGCCCGGAATCCGTAGTCGGATATGGGAGATGGGCTTGAATCGGTTTTGTGTGATTTGTTCGCCGCAAGCGGCAGTCGCTTTTCTTTGCCTTGTTACTGCAGTTTTAGTGTTCCTCATTTCTACTGTTACTTCCTTTGTTCATGTATTTCTTACTCGACGCGACGCTTCTGCTCCATTCCGATACACTTCTTATGCTCGACGTCGCTTTCGCCGTGAAGCGATATGATCCAATCGCGCCGCATCAGACGGATACCCTTCCCATACTCAAGCGGGAACTACCATTTCCACAGAAATCGTTTCACTGCAAAACATCACGTGTGCGATCGGATCCTAAGAGCTAGAGCATCACGCCGATCCTTCAACTTATAAGAAGCTTCGGGACAACTTTGCCGCTTATTCCCTGGCGTAGAATTCCGACTTCTTGAACCGACAATATCCTCCCGTTTATACTTCAGCACTAGTCCATAACACTTCGTATTCAGGGAAATTACCACATCTCTTTTCCGAAGTTACATTTGTTAATAGAAAAACGAATAAACTGTAGGAGAACAGGGAAGAGAGCTCCTCTAACACAAGCGTAGGCGATAAAATGCCAATTTTGGGGCATTTGAGCGTTACTTGTGGAAGCAGCAATGATCTGGATTCATTCCAGCTTACACTTTTCCTCGTAAAGTTCTCGTCCCTCCCTCATGACAATCAATTCCTCCGTTCTCTTTGACTAAATGCAACTCTAGGAAAAAGATGCAGTAACCTCTTTGAATTCGAAATGTTATGGATTAGCGCAGAAATGTAAATGAAAAGTTAGTCGTTCACTGATATCCCGGCAATTTTCTTTCATATAGAACTTCTGGAAACTATATCAGAAGTACATGTTTAGCTGAAGTTGCGTATACGTCATTAACTTTGTTTACCAGTTTCTCTTCAATTTAAGCCTCCAGGTCTTCCTTTTCTTCCTTCGCTGTTTCGTGGTTGTTTTTTCTCAACTCTCATTTGCCAAATCCGCTTCTACGTTTGTTCCGCGAAATTAAGTTTAATGGCACTACTGTTGCTACAAAGGGACTACTTCTCATCCTTTGTATTATATGTTGCTACAAAATGAAATTCTCCGGAACGGACGGTGGACTACAAAAACTATCCCGAAAACTCTCTAGAAACAGCTTTCCCCACTCAACTCTCCACTCATCAATGTAGGAAATGGAAACTTGTTCAGAGAGACTGCCTGAGGCACGAAATATCTGACTTCCCCTGATGCACCCTCGAAACGCTTTCGCGAAATTCTGTCTCATACTGTAGCTCGGAAGGTCTATGCAGTGGTTGAAGGCATCACCTGGTGCATATGGATGCTGTTTTTCGCTAAAGCCAATCTAGGCTTTCCTGAAGCTGACTAATGTGCATCAGATGAAAACAAATGAAAACCATGTGCATAGCTCATTCCTTTGATTGACTAAGGCCATTGCAGTAAGCCAATGATCCATGTGTTCAGCTGCCAACACATCTGCAACCTGATTTTTGGAACTTGTGATCCCAAACTAGTTCTGATACCGTCCCCAGCTATCCCAATGGCATGTTTCATAGCCCACGATTTTGCTAGCGACCAGTCGCTCGACTGATCGCGTGATCTGCTCGGGACCGTCTTCGGCGGCGCCCATAACTAGCGCGGCCTCCTCGACCGATCGAGCGACCGGTGGCGCGATCACGTCGCGCGCTGGTCGTGGACTATGAAAGCAGCCAATATAATTTCTTCCCACCTTTCAATCCCCACCCTACTTCTTTCCTTCCTCTCGAAGCTCATCGAAGCCCAAAGCCCAGCCATAGCTTCCTTGGTGAGAATTTCCCAGTGAGCATTATGCCCCGACGAGCGAGGCGCAAAAACTTTTCAGAAAATTCCAATTTCGCGAGATGCAGCTTAGTACGCATGATTTCCCTGACAACATTCAGTTGGGAAAATCGATTAAGCAAATTTCCCAGAAGGTAAAAAAATTCACGAGACTTGGACATCAGGACGTTCCTAGGCCGTAAATTGGATTGTTGTCAGCTGCTTCTATTGCTAGCCGTTCGTAATTCACTTTCTTTCGCATGCAGATTTTATGTACTCCTGTATGTTAAAAGCCACCATCAAACCAAACTCGTTTTAGATTTTTTGAATATTTTACTAAATCGCATAACCCTTTCCTGACCCCACCTTGACCTATACTGAACAATCCTCCGCTCAAGTTTGCCTCTGGACGATACCCAAGAAAGAACTACTTCTGGGTGGTGGAACTATGTAGTTTCTCTTGATGGGAAATAACAAATTGTCCACTCTGAAGAGTAATTTTGGATTCATAAAGGAAAAATTAATTCGAGTTTGCTGGCTTTCATCCATCAAAACTTAATGATGAACTAGCGGCAGCATATAATTTAGCATGGAAAAACATGAAAGCAATAAAAATAATGGCAGGCGACGGATGGCACCCATCTCTACTAATTAGCCCCTATATTTATAAAATGAAAAAAACACCAGTACGAAAGAAAACCTACTATGAAGGCTTGTTCATTCCGTTTCCGTTCCTCATATGCGTTTATGCGATCGTTGAGCTCTTTTGCCTGCTGGGTCATTTCACGTAACTTCGCATCGCATTCCGGGAGATCCTAAACAGAGGACTTTTTTAAACTTATTAAAGGTTACAAAGAAAGTAACATTTGACCTTCCTTGTTTCTGAGGAGGAGTTAATTTTTAAATTATTCCCATATGGATTGGCTGCCACTTTTCTTACTTGCGAAGAAAGCCTCGCTTCATTTCTTTCGAGAATATTTCTTTCTCTTTGGAATTTTTAAAAGTAGCTAGTTGGTAAAAAATAAATTCGATGAGCAGCTTCTGATCGCCTCTCTTTCGGGTAAGCAATCGTGAAGGATAGTTTATTAATCTGGTCTAACAACTTGATTTCATGACTGCAACGAAAGCCACCATTGACTCTTCAAGCTTTGTGAGAAAAATTATTCAAATGTATCAAAATATTATATCAAAGCCGATAAGAATAATTGATCAATCTGGTTCATAATAAATGAGTTCTACAAAGAAATCTACAAATAACACGAATTAAAGGTATCCCTAAGTAGACCATTTGTCATATTGCAATGGAATTCCCAATATCAACCCAACAAAATGGCAGAAGGCACTCATGATGACAACAAAACTCAGATGAAGCGATCGAACCAAATAACCCAGTAAAATGGTAAATGACCTACAATGATGGCCCAAGAGAGTAGCCTTAATTGCAGCTTACCCTTCAATTTTTTCAGCCAATTCTTGCCCTTTCCAACGAACTTGAACTTTTCTTTGAAGTTCTGTAGGGAACGAATCCCTCATACAGTGAACATATTCGACCAAATAGAAGGTATCAACAACATCATCCAACAATGGGAAAGGATCACTTCCTCGCATACAATTATCCATGCCTTTCTCCCTTCTGAATAAGTGAATTAGCTAGCTCTGCTCCTCCTAAAAAGGTACTTTGCGAGTCTCAAAGAAATCGATAATTTCCAGGCACTCTAAGGCTTATTTATTATTTATCGCTCTTTAAAGCCAGGCTCTCTTAACCCCAGTTTTTCTACGGTTTGTCTGAAGTGAATATGTTGCGAACTCTGTTATGCAAACCAGGGAAAGAGGCGAACAAAAGCTGCTCGTTTTCGCTCTGCAAATCGCTTTACTTTTTGAACTGACGCATATTCTAAGAGGCGGCCGACCAGGACATCCCAGAAGGGAGAGATTAAGCTGAGTTTAACAAAATTGGCCCATCTTGAAAAGCTTCTCACATTCGACTGTATGAAGCCTACTTATCTTGATGTCATCAAATTATCTGAGTTGAAATGGACATTGAGCGTATTGAACCAGAATGCTGGAATTAGGCGGCTTCCCAGATTATCAAAGTCTTTTAAGAAAGTTTAGTCGGATATTTATCCTAAAAAGGGCACCTAACTATGCAAACCTCTAGAAAAACTTTTATCATTAGCGGCAACTGGTTTGCAGCTTGAGGGGAAGAAAAAGAAAATTCAGAGAAAAATGGAAAGAAAAGAAAAAAAAANAAAAAAAAACAAAATTTTCAGATTTTTCAAGATGGTATTTTCAAGGTTTTTCAGATGACAGCCCCAAAGGCATTTTGATTGCTTATTTTTACTTTTATAATACCCACATTGAACAACTTAAAATGCTTTTTACTGATGTCAATTAATACAGAACAGAATTTAGAATGGCCTTTTTCAGTAGAAACAGATTTCCTAGCTGTGAATTTATGAGAATTAATTTTTGAAAAACAATTCCGACTCGATGGAAAATGATTTTGAAGACAGAAGAGCATTGAGTCAATTCTGCTTTTGGCCAGCCGAAATTCACCATGCCAGGACCAAACAACCGGTATCACTTTTCATTGGGGGAAGATTATTCTTTTGCCTTTATAATCTGCGAATTTACCGCAGACAGCTGTATAGTTTATTTGTATAAATAATTGATTATACATATATTATTGCAATATATTGATTGAATTCATTGAAAAATAAAAGTCAAAGTCTTCAGGCTAGAAAAATGCTGTAAAAGACTTCTGTAGTGAGTAGTTTCTAAATAATAAAGGCTTTCTTAATTTTGATCCCGTTCAGATACCTATGTGATGTATGTAGGCCATAACCTATAACTCGATCCAAACGGCCAGTAGAACACAGACAACCTCGTTCACCTGCTAAGGAGGTTCCATGAAATTTATTTATTGCTACTCATAAGCAGATGTCAACCAATTTGTTTATATGATTGGAGATAAATCTTTTTGCATTCCAATTTTAAATAAATCAGGAAACAGAAGAGAATGAGGCATGCTCATTAATGGGGCTTTAATTCCCTAGAGGTGTTCGTCCCTTGTTACAGGATGGTCCAGAAAGCTAGTGTCATCAGCTTACCCGGCAAGTTTCGACGTTTGTCTCGCTGCAAGCTAGCATTTACTGAAGCGCGTGATTTTTGAGACCCTATTCTTCGTCAATCTTCAAGTATTGTCTGAAAGGATAAAAGAAAACCCGACTTTTCAGCCTAGCTTTGCAAATCAATCCTTCCTAGACAACCCAACACAAACCTAAAACCAAACAACTTTCGCTTTTATCTTGATCTTGAGCGTTTGAATTTCGTTCGTAACTTTTTGGATATCTAAGAACTGCACTGGAACTGACAGCTTTTAGTGGTCTTCACGCCTCAGTCAAAAGGAGCGCAGAAAGAAAAAGCCTGGTATTCTCAAATATGTTGGATTTACATCTTGAACCACTTCTAAAAAGTTAGTCATAGAAAGACAAAAATGAGAACAATACATTGTGACCAGGTTCTCAGAGAATAAGCAATTTTCCATGCGATTACCAGGATATTCGTCGGGAGAACAGTATTAATTATAAACAATTATAACATTATAATAAGAACAAACAAGGTTTATTCTGAAAATAACGACTGAGCCACGAGAAGTTTTCTGTTTGTATGTTACCTGATCCATTAACCAGATTTTGTTGTTCCGCTTTAAGGTGAGATTTGAGGTGAGTGAAAGGACGTATTTAACCAAAATGCGCATAGCAATTGACTTCTCATTTATAATGTACACCCATTTGGAAGGTGATACAGCAACCTCGTAAGGCTCCTGATGTCCCTCAATGCGTTTTTTATAAAAACTTTTACCGGACCCATGAGCATTCACCAAATTGCAGGGTCTATCCACATTGAAAATTTTAAATTTTACGAAGCCCTGTATTTCACCCGAGCTCCTCACCACTCAATGAATATAAAGGTTAATGCACAAGATAGGAATTGTGTACAGATATCAAGAAGAAAAAGTGAACAAAAAAGGAAAATAGACGCAGCGAAGTCCTCAGAAGGTAAACAACTTGAGTCAGTGAGCTTCGCGCAGCGCCAATTATGCAGCAGGGATTTCATATTTCAAACTGAGAAATTTTCAAAAACCCAATTTCAATAAAAATTGCCCATGAAGAGTCCTCTAAACTTGGAACCCTCCATATTCCAAAATAATTTCTAGTAGAAAATGCTTACCTTCTCTAATACTTTGATTTCGTCGCTCAATTGTTGCAAAGGACCGTCTTTGAAGGACTCTCGTAAAGCTTCCAGTCGTGCTGAGGCACGCTCAAGTCTATCTTTCAGTTCAGAATACCTCCCGCGTACTTTGTCGTATTTCGCTACCTCCTCTGAAATCACTCACAGTAAGAAGCACTGACATTATCAGAGCGGATTATGCCGAATCACTAGCTCACTTCCTAGCTTTGCTATCTCAGCCTCTTTCAATGCAATTTCCGATTTGAATGTGGTATAATCCTTGAGGTCCAGAAGTAATGGCCCTCGTTTGTCAGGTGCTCCTTAACGTCGCTCGATTGAATGATAATGGAGGAAATTGAATTGGCTTGTAGTCTATATACCTCCACTCATCGTTCCCGTCGGTTTCAAATCATCTCCACGGGCTGTCACCGCTCGCAATTTCACCTGGCTGTCGTAGACTACCTCCTTGGCGCAGTGGATGGAATCGCATATCAGAATCTGAAAGAACCGACTGGGAACAGAGACAAAAGCGAGAAACTTCTCAAACTCCGAAAATTCGTAAAAAGGCCGAACCTTGATTCCTCTATCTTGGCTTCACAAGGGACAATTAAGACCTATTGTCCCAAAATGTCGCTTCCTCGGAAGGATCATTTCCTTTCAACCCTTTTCAGCCTAACTCCCGGAAAAGAACCACCCTGTTCCAAATTTGGAACAATTCTCGTCAATCTCTTCATAAATGGTATTTTACCAGTAACATTCAGCAGTTCAGCACGTTAGTGGAAAATTTTTAGAGCCCCATCCGCTCAAATTCAACCACGATGTGTTTGAATTGAGCTTCGAGAAAATGTGGTGCACAAAGGAAATTGCTTTCTAGTGGACGTTAGAAAAATGACCAAAAGACTCACTCCGCCGAAGACGAGCTCGAAAACTTTCGTATATAGTGGATCGAATTCAATAAGGTCCATTGCAAGCATCATATTTTCTCCTTTGAATTTCTTTGCCTGAAAACAACTCTCTAGACGTTTTTCATCTTCAACAATGGAAACAATTGGTCAGGCCAGCCGGAAGAGGGTCTCAGTTTTTTGTGAAGGGCATAGTTCGATTTGGAGGTCCTTTAGGTAGCTGCTACCGGTCCCTGTCGGGTTGGTATCCTCTGATTCATTAGTGGAGCAGGATTTTCACACATTTTTATTCGAAGGCAGACTGAAAGTGACGCTATCGTACAGCCACTTGACTTCCTTTCCCAGGAAAACCTAGAGAATTTACCCACCAACAGTTCTCGCCCCAAAATGTTCAGATTAACCTCAGCCTTTACCCAATACAATGAGTTCCTGAGGAAAGATCTCAATACCACCGTCTACCTCCCCGGAAGGGTCATAACTCATAAGGCAGTAAGGACACTTTTTGTAAAACATATTCTCATGCATTTTCCAGACACAGCTCCCATCCCCGTGACGAACTCGAATTCTCATCACTGGCTTACAAAACCAAAAACTCCATTCCGTCGATAATGTGCTGAGTTGACGTTTGACTGATGCAGCACTAGACATCTCGTTAGACACAATTCGTCAAGACTAGTCATGCCTCATGCCCTTCACTCAGTCAGTGTCGTTCCAACATCTCAAAACGACGTCCACATCATCCACCAGTCATATTTATTGAATGTTGCCTCCAAAGAACTGCTGCTCCCACCTGCTACTGATTTTCTGCGGAACTCTAGTTACCTCTATCTCTTCTGCAGGAATGAACTTTTGAAGGGCGAAGCTGTCTAGCTGACTACAATCCCGTTCAGGGATGGGTCCACGTTAAAAGGGAACTGTTTGTAGATGCTTCGAGCTTACCTGGCCTATACAATGACTGCTATGTCCAACCGATGTACAGGTCAGTGCCACTATGCTCCCAGACCAACTTGGTCCCAAGTTATCAAACCTGGGCGATAAAACCCACGGCAGACCTGAGTTCCAACAGAGCCGGGATCCGAACCAAGATCGTACATTTGCAGGAACGATGCCTTTTTAGGGGGAATCAAGCATTCTCACAGCTCCGACACTGCGAAAATTACTCTTGGTAACATACCCAAACTTAGGGACATGAATTTCTTCCACGCCTTCACAGGAGGGGAATAAGTGGAGATGCGAAGCAGTCTCATTCGCAAGTACACGCGCATACCCTATGCGCATGGTCCTGAACCTATTATTTCTAGGTGAAGGTTCTAGGCCTACTACATTTCCTGAACTGGATTTATAGAGCGAAATCATAGGTATACGATTACTGGCAAACGAATTGCCACCAACGAATACCACCACTCACATTAATTAGCGCCGCATTGATTGTGGATTCAAAGGGCATCTATTTCTATTGAGGAATGCTTCCACGTTTTGAACCCAGTTTCATGGCGTTGAATGGATTAACATGAAACGAAGCAACAGAATCGGCCACATCAGATGCTCTAGTCAGTAATATATTTATGGCCTTGATTATTGACTACTTTGGCCTTTTGGATAAGCTTCAAGTCAATGCCACGTTTAGAACCCCTTGAAAAGAATAGACCTTTAAAGATCCCGAAAATCTTGAAAAATTACGGTATTCTATTTAATACAAAGTGAACTACCGATGCCCAATTCTTCAGAGTATTCAGGAATAAAACATTTGTGAAGCTGCTCAATCCCTTTGTAACTTTCACTACCACGATGGTAGAAAAGTAGATAAGTAATTATTAACTGATTACTAAAGAGGGGTATAGACGTAAAAGATTTCCAGAAAGCATTCGAATTGACCCTAGTCCAATTGCATCAGTCGGCTTGAAGATTTTGAAAAACTTCATGCCACCCTTGAATTTCAAACTTTAGAACTCATTCAGAATTCAAACTGCTTCCAGGCCCTCGAGGTTTTACGTCACTTTTTCGCACTTTTCAAATCATTCTTCGCCAAATTTCATTCGTTAACGCTCTGTTCGTTCCTTTTCTTCAATAATCTTGAGCTGTGCCCAATTTTTATACCCTAACCAGAGAAACTACGAAACATGAAAAAGAATTTGATCGTATGTGATGGAAAGCCGGGAAAACTGTTGAGCACCGGGCTACCCGATTTCACACGGAATGGCTGCCATTTCGCATACAAGTTCAAAAGAAAGTCTAATATCCGCTAGGACCTGAACGGATTGTACAGTTTCCGTTGACTTGGAGCTCTTTGGCAGTACCTAAGAAAATTATTTGTAGTGATGAGGGACCATCAGGGGATTACGATTACTGCAAGAATTCAACCTTGGAGTGTACCCCTCATAAAAGCTACGGTTGGTCGGTAGCTAAAGGTCGCCAGGCTAAAGGAACTTGAAGGAACCGGCGGAATTACCACAGAACATTCTAGATGTTCAAAAAGAGCAAATTCTGTCTAACTACTTTGAGACAGGCTCTTTGATGACTAATTATCACCTTCTAATGACAAATAAGATAAACTTTTATGGCTTGCTTGCAGTGACGCAAATATCCCAAGTTTGGTATTCTTGCTTAGCATTCCGTGACTAATTTCTTTGTTGCCCGTGCAAAAACAAATGGCAAATTGAATAAAAGCTGCCTGTGACATAAGCAATTTCATTTTGAAGACGTACTCTTCCATTACGTGTTTTCGGATGAAATTAGACGAAACAATAAAAATTAGCTTGATTAGAGTTACGGCGCCGTACTACTAAGGGACTTATAAAAGAGCTAATAAAAACACTAGGATAATTCACGATACTCACGATTTCTTGAGCTCTGCGGAACCTTTGAGCAATATCGTGATAGTGTCGTGGCACGCATTCGGTCCATGGCACAAATGTACGACGATGTGGTAGGCCTGTTTCCACGATCAAACGGGCAGTGTTCTTGTCCTTCACGACCACATGGTACAGCTGAAATTTAAAAATCTGAGGGTTGAACTTGAAAAAACACCTTTGTATACTGAACGGCTTCTGTTTACCATATCCAAACAGCGCTAATGACGCAGTGAACTTGTTGATTGCGCCCTCCTCCCCTCTTCCACCCTCATACTTTTGCCGCTTGGGCACAGCAACACTCGCCCATGCTACAAATACAGTTATGTCCCATGCCAATGAAGTAAATCCAATGAAGTCAGCAGCACATAGAAAACAACTATGACGCCAAATACTTGATGCAAAACGCAATCAATGGCAGTTCAAGAAAAGTCAATTTCTGAGAACGAGCCTCCTTCAAGCATGAGAGCTAGCTAGCTGCTGGCAAGTCAAGCCAACCTAGAGGGGTAGAATGAAAACGACAGGAAAATTCTTCATAGCCAGTCAACTATGAACACTCGATTTGTTCCTAAAATACGGCCAACTGCGCATTCCACGCCCGAACGCTTTTGTTTTCCTGCCTGCACTAATGCTGGAATAATTGGCGCAGTTTGCGGGCAGGCGACATCCTTCTTGACACCCTGCTGGGCCAAACTGCTACTAAAGATTGCTCAATCATTTTTCGACATAGGATTATTTAAAATTCATTCACAAATAACCAAACAGGTGTCTTGTAACGTCATGGCACTTAAGGATAGCGAAGGCGGAGTTGCAAGCCACGCCCCACGCACACGGGTAACAGCGAAGCCTCTTCAGCACTACCACCACCGGGCTTCCCTCATTCTTTACCGCTATCATCATATCTTATTTACAAACAATTAGACAGTGATTGAAATTTTTGCTACTTATGCGCCTTCTCAGCCATTTCAATGTAATTCGTTGTGAAGGACTTATTTTTTGTCGTCAAAACATTAATTAGAATTTTCAGACCCATGGACGATGATGTTATCGAGCTGAACGTCGGTGGAACGCACTATAGCACCATTCGGCGGACGTTACTAAAAGAACCTGACACTGTACTCTACAGAATAGCAAGCTCTTCGAAAGCTTTACCAAAAGGAGTAGTTCAACTAGACAACAACAAGTATTTCATCGATCGAGATGGTCCTTTATTCTCTCACATTCTAAACTATCTGAGGACAGAAAAACTCATATTGCCTGAAGGATTCTCAGAAACCAGTCGTCTCAGGAATGAGATTGAATTCTATGAAATCGAGAAACTACGAAACGAACTTGTTCCACAGCTAACAACCCTAACCTCAATAAAGCCGAAAGTCTCGAATGGAGGCTTATATCCGACAAATGAAACTGGTAAGTCAACTTTTTGGTACAAACCATCAAAAGGGCCCAGTCAGACCATCTCTTGAGTAGCCTCATTGGAACAATCAATGCATGTTCGCAGACACAAGAGTCTTGCATAGATAGGAGCTCCTAGGATAATTTTATTTAGCGCAAAAAAGAGTATCGATGGTGACAAGTACAACTGCTAGACTACCTCCGTGAACTGAGCGAATATTTCCATTCTTTCCAAACCTTCTATATTATTTTTACTATGTCTGCCATATGGGACTCTGAGTTGCCCTTAGAAATACCATTTTTCAGGCGGCTACATTACTCTGGGCTATCGAGGCACTTTCGCATTTGGAAGAGACGGGCAAGCCGACGTGAAGTTCCGGAAATTGCATAGAATCCTCGTTTGTGGAAGGGCGACGTTATGCCGAGAGGTTTTTGGCGAGACACTGAATGAAAGTCGTGATCCTGGTGGGCCAGATGATGGCGAACGTTATACCTCCAGACTATATCTCAAACATCAATGTCTTGAACGAGTACGTACTGATTCTATTGAGACGGCGTATCAGCTAATTATATCCCCGAGGAAGACTCTATCCACTCCCGTTCGATTTCAATCAAGCTCATTTCTCATTCTGGCCTCGATTAAGTTCTTTTCAAGCGAAACTTACCAGTTAGGCAAGTGCAATTTTTCAGATGAGGTTCGATAGCGGACTTGCCACTTTTGAAAAGTGGTGATCAATGTCGGCAGCATGACCTGAGGCCGCAAAAGCAAACAATTCCGAAAAAAAGCTATGCTCTCCCTCGTTCTAGTCAAAACAACGACATAAGTCGACGAAGCTCGGCTTATGTGCCTAACCGTGCATACATAGTTAGCCACAACAGAGGCAAACAAAAATAGTTCAGTAGTAAAGTCCATGAGAATACTTTGTTGAAGGCTGCAATTTCACACTTAACGCTACCTCATTTCGGGGTGTTTGTCATATTGCTACTGTAGTCAGAAGAAAATTTTTAGGCATGTGACGTAATGGCTGAAAAAGGCTTCAAATTGGTCGCCACTTGTTGCAGTGGTGCTAACGGGCTCGCTGCTGCTACTCATTCCATCGTCGCCGGTGCTCTAAGTGGAGCTAGCACAACGGTAATTGTTCTACGCTTTTCAGCTTCTTGCTACTTGTCATGTTCACTTCCTATTCAGCCTACGATTCTCTAATCAGTTCTCTAGTTTCCACTTTTTTTTCTACAGCTTCTTACTTTTCTTTGTTCGTAATCTATCGAAGCCCTTTCAACTAAAAGCCTTCCCAAGCGCAAAAACCTTTGCCCATAAGCTGGTCGGTTGTTAAGTAGAAAATGGGCTTTTGAGCAAAATGATCCTTCTGATCTGGCCTTTCCACAGATATCAAGCCAACGAGATAATTTCCCAGACTCATAACTAAAAAACTTCAATGTCATCGGCTGTACACTATGGAATTTACCTATAACAATAAGATAGTCTGTCCCTTTTTGCGAGAGTACTTAATCAGTAAAAACGGTATTCCAAGCACCTTTGTATGCGGTACTTCTTTGAATTGCCATCTAATAATCTTTATTGGGAGGCTTTTCTACTAGTCTAGAGTACTTAGTAAATATTCCAGTATTGTCGAACAATTACCGTCTTCCCTTTAGAGGGGAAAAAGAACGAAAGGCTACTACAACTATTCTCCATTTCCTATTGCCACTTGCCACTTGATGACTAGCGGTGCCCTTTTCCCTTCCCAGTCCCGCTTCGCCTTCCCCCCAAAAAACACTTTTCTAACTTTCGCAAAAAAAAAGAGTTACGGTGGGAAGAAAAGTAAAAAAGGGACTCTTCGGGGGAATCATGCGGCACACTCTGCAATTTAGGACACAGTATTGTAAAAGGGCTGTATCAAGTTTGCTACCCACAACCTCAAATCAAAATGATTTTCATAATTTAAGCTGGGGGTTACGTTCACCCTTGCGACAAGTTTGGACCAAAGATTGTTGTTGAAGTCCAGTGGCACCCAAATGGGAATGTCTATGTCTCAAAACGACATTCCATCTTTTTCTCTTCAAGAAATCACATCCCGTAAATGAAACGGCATCTCATCATTGAGAGCAGCAGCCGAGTTTATTCTCAACGGACGGACACGGACCATTAAATGATGCCAAGAGGCAAAGCGCACAAGTCGTCCGTCAATCGACTGCTGCTGCCAAATCGCCGCCACGACGCTCCCCCTCATTTGCCTGACATAATAGAGACCAAACAAAGAGTTCATACATAGAAAAGTCAATGATTAAGTGAAAAAACCTGCAGCAGCGACTGAAATAGCAGAAATCTGCAGTAACAGGAAATGGATTTATCTGATTACGTCCTCGATTCCTTCGTTAGACAGCCGAGACTCTTTTTCCCTTGATTTCTGATCACGAAAAATTTCTATGCTATAAAATTTTAAAGTAGCTCAAAAAAGTGTTATCGCCTAGCACTTTATAGTTAGCAACACCTGTAATTAATAGCCTTTTTCCAGATAGAAGTAATAACCTAGCCAATATGGCATTTTAACTATCACCTTTCTTTTAAGTATGATTTCTAACCATCAACCTTTCTAATGTCATACAATTTTGCAAGGGCTCGAAAAAAAAAANGGGGGGGGGGGGGGAGTTATATGATGAATATCCCACTTTTATCGAACGATTGTCATCTCTTCTTGAAGATGGTAGAATTAGGAAGAAAGTCTCCAACCATTCGACTATGCCCCATTACCTATCTATTTCCCCGTGCTACTTAATGACTAGTATCTCGGCTCTCCCTATCCACCCCAACCCACTCTCTCTTCCCTAACTTCAAGCTGTGAAGTAACAAAAGGAATATCTATGCAAATACATCCATGAAACTCCTGAATAGACAGTTCAGACTCTCTCTTTCTCTCTCTCTCCTACCCTAATCTAACTAACCATAAAAGCTTCCGTCTGAATGTCACAAAATTCTAATTGAGCCCAAAAAAAAGAGATGATCGGCCAGCAAATGCCTGTAAACAGCTGTTAATCAAATGAAACATCTATAGTACGCTTGTATTTTATAATTATATCGGCTTTTTTTTTTTGAAAAAACGACAAATACACAACCATCAGTATAATTGAACGACGCGAAAGCAGACAGCATGACGATGGCCACGAAAAAACGGATTCTTTGTTAGAAATTAATTCGTTTTTTGTCCTTCTCATAGCCATGAAGGGCTTGCACAGTAACCCAGGAGATCCCCTTTAGCATGGGATTACAGCAGCATAGCGCGGCTTAAAAACTCCACAGAGGACGTAAGTGTCACTTAGAATGTCTCTCAGGGCAGCAGTATCATTCAGAACTTCATCCCCAAGCCACCGGCAATCAGAAGGTAGCGCGAAAGAAAGAGATAAATGACAAAAAGCATTAAAAAAATGGTAAAAAATCTTCCCCAAAGTGGTAAGTAACCACCATTATGTTTTGGAGCGTTTACTGCCACTAGCAAAACAACTTGTTCATTTTGCATTCAAGATTTGGCGCTTATCAAGAAGTCCCATAGGAGATGGCGCGTAGGGTCATCGAGGGAAAATGTAGCTTGTAGTAGACCGGAAGGCCGTCAGACAACCGAGTGGCAACCCCGAAACTGAATGCAATTTTTGAGAATTGAGAAAAGTTGAAACAATAGTTATGATGGAATAAAAAATCAAAAAATTATGAATAATTGTGTATGAGGGACAAAAGCATAGGTCTATAGGTAAATCAAGGTTTTTTGGGTGAAATACAGTGGTTAGCGCAAGGTTGTTGATTGTTTAAAATCCCGAAATTTCCAAAGGCTGATTGTTTAGAACCCCGAAATTTCCAAACCACCGGAGTATATACGCTTTATAGACCGTCGTACTCATGACCCTCTCTCTTCCGCCGTCCTTACTCAATAATTTTTTTTTACCAAAATGAATCTTACTTACTGGATCATTCCTTTAAACCTGACCCAATCCCCCCATCCATTCCTGTAAACATGGATCAATCCCTTCTACCTAAAAACCTCTTCACATCCTCTCCACAACCAGTTAATTTCTATAAGTCTCTTTCTTTTTACCTAACAAATGTATAACCTGTAAGACCTCTATTCATTACCCTCTTCAGCATTCTCACTTATAGAGGTCATTTCATTTCGAAGAGATTCGCTCTACTTCTGATCTCTTTCAAATGGGATGGATTAAACGATTTAGCCACCTTAATACCGATACCCAGACTAAGCCCTTCCTCAATTTCAGCTCCATGAAATTCGGAAGAATTAATCACTCCGACACCACCATAATCCTTTGCAACGCCATCACCCATTCGTGTTCAGGGGGTAGAAGTGTTCTTCCTAAGACTAACCTTCAATTACTACTGGCTATTTCAGACCTTAGTAAGATACGTAGTAAGTACTCCTTGACGTCAATACCGACATAGGGCATTGACGAAGCTTCACTATTTCTCTCAAGATGACTACTCTCTTCATTCTGAAGAGTGAATCTCAGAGATTTCAAAGTTTTACTTTTCCATTTTCAGAAGAGACCATGAGACTTCAATGTGCCCTCAAACTCGCGTTAGAACTTTAACAACGTCATTTAGCCAGAAAATAGAAAGTCCCATTAAGTTCGAAACTTTCGTGTTTTTTCAGGCTAGATGACGTTGTTAATGATTCCCGTTGAAATTTTATGGCCATTCTGGAGATTTTTTCCATCCAAAAATGGATTTAAATTTGCGAATTGCGAATGAAATTAAAGGACACTGCAAATGTAACATAGCCTGCACGTACATACATTCGCACTAAAAAGTTTCAAAGTTCTGAATAGAAATCGACTGACTAGTGCATTCCAGAGGGTGTAATTACTGCCAACAGTTTTCTCCAGTAATCTTACGAGGATCTTAAATTTTGCAGAAATTGCTCGTGCAACACGTGCCCAACTAATTAGGAGACAACGGCGTTACTCATAATAAATGAAACATCCTTTTCCTACTTAACCTCAGAGCAAAGCAATGATTAATACCGAGGCTTCGACCGATACGAGTGACCGGTTAATGCCAGTCCTTCATGTTCGAGAAGAAAGCAAAAACGGAGCGTAAAGTCATAGGAACCGGACTACTGAGTGGAATTTTTATTATTTTCTTATTTTTCAGGAATGACCTTATCCTTAAAAAGTTTAGAAAATTAACACCAACACAAAACTTCTACTGAACAAGGTTGATGAGGGAAAGAAGAGGGATTAAACGGGCAAGAATTGGTTTGGGAAATACCTCCAAAACTCTTGCCCTACAGATTCTCGAATTACAGGCCTGATAAATCACTTCACATACGTTACTGACCCCTTGTAAAACTGTAAAAGAAGTAAATCCCTAGTAACTACAGAGGAGGTAAATCACTGGCCTTGTCATCTTTTAGGCTTAGCACACAGCTGTTGTTGAACTTTTCCGCTTTGATCAGCCTATGGGATCGTCTTCCAAAATCACCTTTGCCCATGGAATTATTAGGACCACCCATTTCAGGATCTGATGAACCATCGAAATTGTGGCGATTACGAAGAACAACGATGGGCGCACTATACGGAGTATGTGTTCTATCGGGAAAGTCAAGGAGGAATCCTTACACCTTCACCCAGAGATCTCTAGTTATGTGATGTTCCTCAACATACATGCTAATTTTAAATCGTGATAGATGTTTTTGTTTTGCTGCGACATTTTGCTGTACTTGTACCATATTTGGCAATTCCATTCTACCGAAATCTCGCTCTTCCATTACCAGTGTGCTAATACGTTTTTTTTTCGTTCGTTGATGTGAAGCATAAAGCAAATTTGGCAGTCGTACGAATTACCTCAACAATAACCCTTTTGACAAACTGCCACAATAAATGCAATATCGCATTCTAACAACAGCAATAACCGGAAGCTACCCAATAGTAGCAATAAATAATAAAACAGAATAAAAATAGACGCTTACAAATGATCCGGCAGCGATTTCGAGAGCCAGCGCATATTTGGGATCCTTAATTCGGAATAGGGTAGCTACGCAACCTCGTACATCATCGCGATTGAACCCAACAAATGGATCCTTGTAGGTAAAGTGAATACGCGGATTCCTGAAGTGGCAGAATCGTTATCAAGTAAATGAAGTATTTACCTAACTGCAACACTTCCTCGTCGTGATCTTGTTCACTTCCGCAAATTTACTTCGTTTACTACTGAACTTGTGAAACGTTCACAAAACCAATGACGAATGGAAGTACAGAAAGGAAGTTTTTTTCTTTCGAGCAACGGATATACATTGCAAATTAGCGGAAGCTTTCGAAAATTCATGAGCCAACAAGATCTGAACGCACTTCTGATGTAGAATATTCAATTTTATCTGCATTTGCTGAACTTCATGCTGATAGCTGGCAAGAGTCTCGCGATTCTTTGTGTCCAGCTCCTCGTCGTACGTGATCGAAGCAAGTTCCTTCTAGAAGCGATAAAGTAAGAGATAAAGGATAAAGCCTCTGGCGTTAATCAATCCCGTCTGAGGGATGCACTCCCGCATTCGACATCCATACAGAATCGCAGGGGGTAATGAATCCGTATGAGGCCCATAAAAAGAGCGATCAGCCACTGTAGAAGTCAGTGCTTCAATCCTCCCAGACGAGTCTAGTATCACTTGACCAACCCTGGAGGGATGAAATGCTTGGTTGGGCAAGGCGGATATCGAATGGGGATCGAACCCGTGACCATGCGTGTGTGATAGTGCGCCGCTTTCCACTAGACTACCTCAACCCAAGCGATGAAATATCTCAGAAATCCCAACAACCTCGACATTACGGTAGGGTTCAGTGGGCTCGCCAACATCTCAGCCTAAAGGGAAAAACTTCCCTTTTCATACTAAGTATGTAGTACATCAAGTGCCTCAACCACAGAGGGAGACCACAGATTTAAAACAGTGAACAGGTTACGATAGCTGCTATTTCAGGCAAGTGTTCCTCTGTGAAACAATTACTGACAAGGCAACGCTCTTCAATTTTCGCCTTCTTCCTGGAGAATCCCTTTCGACGCGATCTTGCCTTAATTAAGTTTGATTCCACTCACCCGATAGTTTTTCACTTCGACTTCACGTGTTTTCAGCTCGGATGATTCCGCGGTATTTTTTCTTGTCATCTGCTCATATTCGGCTTGTTTCCTTTTCAACTCAGGCAGGATCCGCTTTTTCCTTCAACATTAATGAGTTTATTCAATGAAGGAAAATGGAAGCAAATTGAAAGGAAAATTACTTCTCCTCAGCTGTAGACACTTCGGCTGCGATTTCCTTCAACTTGGAGCGATACCCTTAAAAAGACGAAAATTAAGGAAAAACTCGCACCAATTGAGAACGCTATCTTTGCAATAATCCATCTGAGCAGCGCGCAACAAACCTTTTCATTTACTTCTTTTCCCTTTCTGGGCACCTACCACCTCAAAACAATGTCCCGCGAGGACATCTATTTATTCAAAATGCTAAGCAGGATACAACATAAACAAGATTGACTACAACACCTTCCTTCTCGTTGGGTAATATAACTCAACGACTCTCTATTTACAAGATGTTGACGAATAATAACCAGCAGGTCTTCAATTTCTATCTAGCGAAACGACTTTGCCATCTCTGGAGCTAACTTTTACAAAGTAATATATACTCTATGAGCTAACTGATAAGTGTGAACTGGAAGTCACTGCACGGCCAACCTTTTGCCTAGCTTAGCTAACTTGAACCTCTCTCTGTTAGATCAGCAGCCGCTAGGACTGAAGTAGGTGGACTAGAAAAAAATTCGAATGGTTTAATTAATAAAAAAGAGAAGTGTACGGTGTGATTTAATCTTGTTACATTTCCCTATATCATATCTTTCTTTAACGGCCGTAAAAATTGTCATTCGCATCATCTTCAACAAATAATAACATCGAGTTAATATGAGGATAATTTATGATGGGCCAAAGAAGTTAACAAAAGGTAGGCGAGGCAAGGGGCAGGTTTTCGTGACTGTTACCAGTCACGAAAACCTTCATGACTGTGAAGGGGGATCAGCAAAGAGGAGTATCATGAGAAGGGGATACTGTATCGTAGGTGTCTGGTAGGCAGAGAGTCATCAAGTGGGAAGAAAAGAGCAGAGTAAGGCTTTCAACGAGAGAGGTCAACACTTTCAACTTTGGTGGCAAAAGAAAATGTTGACCCGCTCGGGAAAAGGAAGGTTTGAGAGACGTAGTAACGTGGTAAGGATTGAACGCAAATTTTGCACTGATGTTTTCTGGAAATGTCACTAACACGCCTGGAACTTTGGAAGCGAACATGACGGGGAAAAACCACTGCAACAAAAGCACACAAAGCGTTATGCAATGGTCAATTCTACTTAGAGGCTAGCCACGCATTCGACTTCCAGTACGAGTAGTAGTGACATTAGAAAACGTGAAGAATCATTGTCGATAGTCTTTTAAATGACTAAATCGAATATACAGCCGATTTCTGAGAAACCAAAGTCTCAGCCGGTCTAGATAAGAACCGCCTCAGTACTCGATCTCCAGATCACTGGTCGGGAAGCCGGCACCACTCCTCACTACTTCTAGTTATAGATAGCAAAAAAGGTCTTTGAAGTACACAATATAACCCTACAAGATAAAGCCAGTGTCATCAAATCCTGCATGGTAAATCTTGTAGTTATGGTAACTGACCACAACGAGGGCTCATAGTTCTATACGATGAGTAGTAAAAAGTGCAGTAACCTCAATAACTTTTCCACTAAAAGGGAATGGTGATGGTCTTTTGAATGGCTTACCTGTGATTTGCTCTTCTACACTGATAGCGTTGCCACTGTCATCCGTCGTCATACCTTGCGCAACAGCATTTAGTTTTTCGCGTGCTTTCACTGCCAGCTAAATGGGAAATAGTTATTACATCCAAGTGTTCATATCAAGGGAGAAAAGGAGATAAGGGCTACAGATGTTACGACATCAAACAAAACCTTCTCTCCTCCTTAACCTTGATACTAACAAGATGATGAACAAGAACAATACTAACAAGATTGTAAGAAGCAAAGTCTTCCCATCGTCTACTTGTTATAGTATGCCCACTACAGTATGTGGACTAAGGAAATANAGGAAAAAGAAAACTATTTTTCAGGAGAAATTTTCTCTGGCAAACCAGAGAAGGCAAGAAAACAAGGAACTGTGACTAAGAATTTGTTACAATTCCTCATTTCCCTGTCCATGAGTACTGCATAGAAAACTACAAAATACACATTTTTCAAACAGATGCTAACGACAAAACTAACCATAATGGCAAGTAATCGAAGTATAAAAAGGCGAATCAGATTGCAGAAGTAAACACACCTCTTCAGCAGTCTTGAAGGCTTCCTCCTTTGATCCAATCTCGTTCTCCCACTTTGCAAGATCTGCTTCCTTCTTCTTCATTTGTTTAATTTCCTATAAAGCAACCGAAACAAGTCTTGCTAGCACCACTGATGCAAGAGCTCTGCATAACTGATCTAGTTGAAAAAAGGAAAGATATTAAGACAAAAGAAAGAGAGATATTCATGGACATAAGGGAAGAAAACGAGGTCAAAAGATTCCTCCGAAGGTAAAAGAGAGGCAGTTCAAAACAAACATGCTTTGAGATTTGAAAGGATTTAAAATTAGCTGCCTCTTTGTGACTCACGTTATTAAGAGACTTTCGTTTTTCTTCGTATTCCGTCAAGGTTTCGCCGAATGTCTCTTTGCACTCACGTTTCTCCTCATCGCAAGCTTCAATTTTTGCGAGTTCTTCTGCAACATTTCCTTCCAACGTGGAAAACGCCTCTGCATGACGCTGAAAAATAAATTCTATTCTATCCAAAACTTGAGTAGGCTGAGGTGTACAAATGCGATCACTCACACCTACTTATGCGTATAACGTTGAAACAATTTCAATATATAAACCAACTTACCCTCTTCTTAGCGTCTTCCACGCGAGTAAGATCTTCCTGCTGTGACTCCAAGACTGCCTCAACTTCCTTCAATTCTACATCTAAACTTTTGATTTCTTCCGCTTTCTCCACAGCAAGCTTCTCACAATGCTCGGACTTTTCCTAAACAATTCACCATAAGAAAAACGAATAGTGCAAAAGAAAAGATCCAAAAGGAAGAAAAAAGCTACCAAAGCCATGTAGTAGGTGAAAGCTGTGAGTTTCCGCTCGCGACGTTCTATTTCACGATCACAATTATTGTATTCCAAAAAGTTCTGCTTGTCTCTCTGTAACTTCTCCAGTTGTGGGAGGATGTCCTCGGCCATGAGCTAAATAGGAATGATATAATAATATCAAACTAGTATTAATGAATTTCAGAATGATTTACTTTTTCAATCTCGTCGACTTTAGACTGCTTTTTATGGATCGTGTTCAAAGCCAGAGTTCTTTTTGCTTCATACAGTTTAGTACCAGCGGCTTCTTCAATCATGCCCAAAATCTGGAATCGCGAAAATATTGAAATCATAAATGTCAAAATATCACAAAGACCGATTTCGAAACAGTGAAAACATGTAACGTACCTCGTGAGGCTTCATATTGAGAACTTTAGTGATACGACCTTGCATGATAAGAAAATGAGGATTATTTACATTGAGACCGACACTGCGGAAGAAATCGGAAACCTGAAGCGGAACCGGATCGAGGTATAATATCAATACGAATGAATTAATCATCAATCAAACTTTGTAGAACCGCTCAGGTATCCAAAACTTACCTTCGCGTTCGTGGCAGTACTTCCATTGATCGTGTATGAGTTCCGACCATTGACGATAATCTAAAGGAAAAATATTAAGTTTCGGCAAATATACTATGAATTTAGTGGTCTTACCTGCCGGCGAATGACAATTTCGTCGCAATTATGGTATCCAATTGGCCCATGCTTCTTGTCTCTATTATCAAAAGTTATTGTAACAGTTGCTTTGTTAATACCAGCCTGCCCTTGCTTGTACACCAAATCATGAAGTTGACCTGAAAAGAAAAATTTCAACCGATTTCATTATCACTTGAACAGCTTAACCAGCAGAAGGTTTGGTCGGAAAAATCCTGAAATCAATCATATTCATGGAAGCAGACGTACCTGCCCTGATGTGTGTTAGATTCGTTATTCCTAGGACAAAGCAGATTGAATCTAAGATATTCGACTTCCCTGTGCCATTTAGACCTAAAGAAGTCGACTGACAATTCTATGTGAAAATGAAGAAAGATACCAAAAATACTGCATGATTTTGAGCAATGTTCACATTACACACGCTTCGAAACCTTCGATGAAATCACTAATTTTAAAAACTCTCATTAGAATCGCTTTGGTATCCAATATGAAGCAAATTTTTGAATCAATCTGATGGTATGGCTCGATCTCGTGAGCGAGAATAACAAAGACGGACAGTCAGTTTAGTTTACACCGTCGACCGTTTTTTGATTACCTGTTTTAGGAACAACTCGCCGTGCCCATCCAACAATTTATTGCGAATCCATTAATGCAATATAGGGAAAAATTCAAACAGCTGAGGTATGCACTGACGGATCCAATTCCTATGGACCTGATTATCTGTCTGTAAAGCTGCTTTCCCATGCAAGAGGTTAAACGGCGGGTTTAGAGTTATGAGTCGGGGAGGTGCAGAAAAAATGAACTTTCCATCCCACTTTGGTGGGTCAGCCTCATGAATAGGACAGAATTCGCAACTAACACGAGAAGCCATTTAGCTTGCAGAATCACGTTCGTTTTCGGTTTGAAGATTCGAAAAACAACTTACCAGTAATAGCGTTGAATTGTGTATCGAATCCATCGATAACTTGCAATTTCGAGTAGGACTTGAAGCCGTCGATTTCTAGCCGCTTAATATACATACTGAAAATTAAATCTTAGTATACTATGACAAATATTTTGAAGGCTGCATAAAGACTCGACAACGCAGCTTAGAACATAGAATGGCAACGCTATTTCGATATAAACAAGGTGCATAGTGATCATGTTACTAGTTGTGCTCAGCTCGCCCTTCGAGGCTCAGTGCATCGGAGTCTCGAGAGCCGAGCTGAGCTAATATTGTTTAGACCTCAGGCGAGTTTAATTAGACCTGCAGCCACAACGAAGTAGTAATTGGTAAAGAGAAAAAGCTTCCAAAGAACTGCCGTCAAGATGGCAGATTGTACCCTTAAAAGGCAAATTCGAGAAAAATCTGAGGCAACCTTGGAAGCTTTCCCAAAATGTACGGAATCTCAAGGTGACATGCTCAGCATTCCCATCTTCCTTTAACTATCCTTCTTATAGCAGATTCCAAGCGACTAGTTCAAAAGGCTTCACGACAATCAGCTGATTATCATCAATAAAGCAATGAAACAAATCCTGCCAATCCTAGCGCTCAAAGGCATTTGCTTTGGAATTTCAAGTATAGCTACAGCACTGTTTGATATGAGTGGCAAAAAGACGAAAATGAAAATGGAGAAAGTTCAAGAAAATTAAATTTTTTCCAAAAAACAAATAAAAGGGACGCAAGGGAAAACCTGCTACACGGATATAATTTGGCCAAATTCAAATGATTCAGCGTTCGCGCCTTCGCTAATCTGCCGCGATATTTGAATTCCCAATTTGGGTGCAACGCCGATGTCAGTGTCTCGGTCGTCGTTGGTGACGTTTTATCAGTTCTTCTCATTCTACCTCTAAGTCGTTTCATAGTTCGTTGACCTTTTGTTCTAATGATAAGAGTTTATTCGAGCAGAAAAACCTCTATGGGGATTTCCTGGCAGAAGCCTTGGGAAACCTGGTATTCAACCCAAAAACTTATCAGGTTGGGAAATTAAGTCGACTAATGAGTTTCTAGTTATCGCAACTTGAGCGCAATCGTCTTCCGATGTGTGATTTCGCCAAATAAACTAGATAAAGAAGTAACGAAAGAAGTTCAAATATCACGGTTTAGCCTTAGACTTCTTTCAAAAAGTTTGTCACCAACTTGTTCAGTCGTTTCTCTTACTCACCTTTGCACTGGAGAATCACAACAAAGTTCCCCTAACTCTTCCACTTGGCTTCTGCAAGTTCGATGCTTACCACGTTAAGATGTCACTTAGTCAACCATTGCACACCCATTTCCGTAGGAAATGTGACTAGTCCATGTTTGGAAGAGGCTATCTAGCAGTCCTCACAAATACGGTTCCGAATACCTAACAACGTATGTTTGATCACCCGAAGTTCATTGTGATGAAAACTAAAAAGGGCCTTGAAATGGAATGACGTACAAAACTAATATTTCTTACTCTTCCGATGCGAGCTTTCTTTATTTATGTCATGTACGTCTAATGAAAAGAGACCTACCCAGTGGTAGTACAGCGTTTAGACTCGTTTCCAGATCACAATGTCACAGCCATTTCGAGATACGTCTAATAAGACGCCTACAAGTATGATGAGAGATCTGACAATACGAAAAAATTCAGCAAGTGCTGGACGCAAGTACACATCTCATACTACAACATCGAATCAAACAGGCTTTGGTGTCGGTGGTACATCGAAGGTAAGTACATTTGTATTCGTAATTGTTTTCCAATTCAGCCTATCTGCAACGAAAGGTGAATGAACTTTCGAGAGTTTCTCGTTCTTGGTGGTTATCAACAAAGTAGTTCGAAATTTTAGAACAGTTATATAAGCCACAGCTTCTGAAGGGGCATAGTTTCGTGCTTCGACAAAGACCGAACCTCGGCTTTATCTCGCTTAAAAGTGCAGTGGAAAACCTTAACTGTGCCCAGAAATATTGATAAATCAGTGAATTTCGTGAGCTAGAGAAATATGGGAACAGTTGAAAATGGAGTTTACTTTCAGAATCAGAAAGGGCTACGTAGAAGAGACGTGACACCGTCACGAGCTTACGTCGGAGGAGGCTTGTGTGCTGGTGGAGGCGATCGTTACGTTGCGTTGAGGAAGAGCGAACAGGATCTGGAACTTGCTAACTATCTACTGGCTCAGGTTTGCCTTTCGAAGCGCATCCCTCTTAAGCAAGTGTAGAATGGCGGTGTGAGATGCTCAATATATCAATCCACTGATTTCGTTCGGGGTACAGGTTGTACTATGTGAATAGTGCAATTTTACTCAAAGGATTGTGATATGGTGGATTCCAGAGTATTCCCGCCGAAAACCGTTTTTTGCAAATCTTGCCTTATTCAAGGAGCACATGCATTTCAAAAAAAATCAGCAATGCATCCAATGAATTGTATTGTATTGTCCAAATTAATCTATTCTAGTGCTTGACCACAGGATGCAAGATAACGCTGCGTCCGACCGTATCGCAAGTATCCTGTAGGAAGGCTTTGCTCCGGCGAAGAATCTCTTCATCGAATTCGGCAAACAACCCAAGTTAATCTCAAGTCCTATGGCAGTTTTAGAGCTGCGGGATTTCATCGAGTTACCTTTAAATTATTATGTTAATCGATACCACTTCACGAAGAGGAACCAACTTAGAAGGTTAATTCTAGGCGGCAAATTTCGGTAGGCAAGAGTTCAGTTGAGGGGTGAAGAATGTAGGTCCTGCGTTTGCTGAGCTTCATAGGTAAAGTTGGCTCCTGCGAAAATTGACTCCTTTCCGGTCACATACGACAAGCGCGATGTTAGATAATTTCTGTGTGTCCCATGTTTAAAATCGGCCCTACTCAAAAATAAAAATATACAGAAACTCTGGGTTAGGTTTAAAACCGTATGAGTGCTCTCAAGGTGTTGAATGTTAGCAAAGCATTGCTCGAACATCTAAAATTCATAAAGATGGAATTACTCTTTCAGCCATCTGATTCTACTTTCAACACATCAAATTCTGCTCCTTCTAGTCCACAAAAGAATTACGAACAGGAACAGATGAAAAGAATGATGAGAGGTATTTTTTCGTTGTCGTCCTTATGTGAAAATACAGATTTCATTCGGCAGAGCTTTATAGCGAAAAATACATTACCAGTAAACAGCGCAAACGTTGCAACGCAGTTTCACTCAGGAGCGGTCGTAAAACGGTTATTTGCTGAGTGCTATGTCATTATAAAAGCAGCCAAATTATTGTGAGTCTGGACGACTGTTAGTCTACGATTAATGCATAAATTTTAAATTCTTACACATTGTCGTCAAAGTCTCTCTAAAGTAGATAAGTAAAAGTACTAGCTATTAACAAAGCAAATCAGTTTGATGGCTTGTTAGGGACTGTACTTCAAAGTCTGTGCTGAAGCTTGAATCTTGAACGTGTAACTTATCGGATATTAACAATACGAATGAAAAGATCAAAACAATCATAACGAGAAGCAAAGTAGAAAAACAGTGTAGCATGTGCATGAAGATGAATACGATGAAAATGGCTGGTGGTAGTAAAAATTGCAGTGGCTAACTAAGAAGGAAGTGTTCTCTCTGAGACAATTGACTTTGGTGAAATTGAGTTCGGCGGAGCAACGGATAAAAATGGTGCAGCTGCTCAGGTCTCAAAATGCAATTCGTTGCTTTCGTGCTCCAGCGTTGCACCGCCTTGCTTGTCTGATGCACGCGAAACTCACATGAACCCTTCGTAGGGCACTTCCGAACATGGACCGATGCTTTCGCTACCCTTAACCGGTTACACTTAAACGTACTTCTTTACCTGATAATTTGCATATGCCACTTCAATAGTAACGAGCTCGATGATCCCTATCAGCTAGTTTTTATCGCGAACTTCTTTTGGAGGTGTTTTTTCAAAACCGAAGCGTGCTGAGCTTCCCCTATGTACATAGTTGGGATGGGAAGATGTTTTCGCGTGGTCCGAATCAATAACCAGACAACAAGCGTGTCTTCAGCAGGCACTGTTTAGCTTCAGCTAGAAGCTTGGTTACCGTGGTATTTCCAAAAACCTTGCATTACTTTCAACTTCGATGCTGGCCGTTATGAGTCAAAATCATTTTTAATTGGATGAACTATTGCTCGATGACAATGTGCGTTCCTCTTCACTATTTTATCTGGAAGGCTATCTAGCTGGCCCTGTTAGGCTTATAAATTTTGAGTTTAATATTTTTTGTTCGCTTCACTCCACCAGAACTTCTTCAGATGTTTGCCGCATGCTACAAAGTCCGAATGGTTTTGAAATACAATACGTTTATTTTCTTCAATAGTGTGTGAACAATCATGTTCTGATGGAAATTTCTTTAAAATTTTTCAAGGAGAAGCTGAAATGAAGTATAGTATAAATTGATTTGTTCTTATCTCGTTTCAGTGAAATCTGCTGGTAATCTCACGGATGCTGGTGAGGATGATCGCATTCTGTGCTATAAGAAAAACATGGCACCATTACCCGCCGTAGGGCATCTTAATCAGGCAAAGGTTAGCTTGCGAGTTTTATATTACTGTTGATTGCAGATAGACGAAAACGCCTGACTTAACGCATCTTATTGGTGCGGGTTTCGCTTGTGAGCAAGTAAAGCTCAAGCACTGTAGCGTGAATCTGTAATCTATCATCTCATTCAGCTCAAGTCTAGGTGCTATATTCAACGTGTGTCCAACCGGCTTCTACGGTCAAAAAATCGACGAGGCACATCCCTCAACAGCCAGAGCGGGTCCTCGATGCACCGGAACTGAAAGGTATCTATATCTTTTTAGAAGAATCGAAATGGCTTACATTGTAACCTTTGGCTGCTTTCATAGTCCACGACCAGTCGCTCGGCTGATCGCGCGATCTGTTCGGAATCGTCCTCGGCGGCACCCATAACTAGCGCGGCCTCCTCGACCGATCGAGCGACCGGTCGAGGCGCGATCAGTCGAGCGACCAGTCGCGCGAACTGGTCGCTCGCAAAATCGTGGACTATGAAAGATGCCCTTGTGCTCTTCAATGAATGCAAGGTTTCCTCTAAGGAATAGACGCGCTAATTTCCCCAGCTAGCAGTCACAGCAGTTTACTGAAGCAAGTAATAATAAAAATAATAGTAGTAAAGATCAAATCCATTTGTTCTAGATGATTACTATATGAATATTATTGATTGGAGCAGTTGTGGCGTCGTTGCTGTGGCATTGTCTTTCACATTGTACTTATGGAATGCCGATAGCGGAGAAATTCAGGCAAGTTAGAGGTTGAATAAGCTTCGCCTGAAAATCTAATGAGGATAATGAATCACTCATTGTCCTAATGTAATGACCCTTTTTGCTTGTTGACGTTTGACGGAATGAGCTTTTTCAGATTTTGTTTGAGCTAGATGAAACTAACGAAATGAACCTGATCACCTCGGTAAAATGGTCGTTGGACGGGAAATTCCTTGCAGTTGGATTCAAGGATGGCTCCCTGAAGGTATGTTGATGACTGTTGTAGTGGTTATTGTCCCAATGATTTGTTACAATTTCAGTTGTACGACCCTCATCGCGTACCTCCACCAAACGGGAAACTGGAACTGAGAACAATGAAGCCTCCCCGACAATCTCGAAACGGTATAAGACCCTAACGGCCCCTCCTATTCTTTGAAAGCTTACCTTTTCTCCAGGTGTGCTGGGCTGGCGTGGCGCTGTCGTTTCAGCTGGATATCAGTCCGGTCAAGTCATTCATCACGACGTTCGTATTCCAAACCATATAATAGGGTAAGTTTTTAATTGGAATTACTTCGTAATATCATTCGAAGACGTTAACTTAACGTGATGTCATACATGATTGATATTCTGCTTTTGTTGCCTATCGTACTCCGTCTGCTACCCGGTTGGTATTGCGGAACTTTACCTGGGTTTTGGGATCTGGTGTCTGTTACTATTTTAGTATCTGTTCAGCTCTTTGAGATAGCAATGCTGAGAATGATTCATGCAATCTCATTCACATTCACATGTTCTATACCAGCATATGACATCCAGACTTTAAACAGTTCATTTGGTCAGGCGGCTATATGCATAAATTTCCAAAGACCTACCTAGTCACTGTGACTAATGCCGTTGCGCCCACACTATTTGCTTGTTTACAACATGGCGGTTCTTTTGCTACACTTATGTTACCTTTTCTCAAGCAATTATTATAGCATATGGGAAGGCCACGATCGAGAGGTTGTTGGTCTCCATTGGTCGCATAATCAGACTAAACTGGCTTCCGGTAGCGGGGACAACACAGTTCGTGTATGGGACGACTCTCGCATCGGAAGTACCACCTCGGTGAATAATTACTTTCTCTGATGCAGTAAACAACTTCATCATCGTCTGTCCTTTCCTTAAATGGTTCTGTTCGAGGAAAGCTTATTCGTTCTTGACGAACATGTTGGATCCGTTCGGGCGGTTCAGTTCTGCAATTTCAAGTCAAGTCTTTTGGCCACCGGCGGAGGCATGCAATGTAAGACCATCAAGTTGTGGAACGTCAACAGCGGGCAATTACTAAAAAGCATTGATACCGGGTCTGCTGTAAGTTGATGATTAACTTGTGAAATATTCGAATGCGTCATTGAGATAGCTATTTATAACCCGCCTCTCTCTTCAAAATATCACGTTTGCGATTATGCCAGTTCAGTGATTATTGGAAAAGTTTATACAAACGTTATGTTTCGAATGCAGTATACTGAACGCTCAATTGCGCGGTATATTTTAAATTCTTGTTTTTATCCTTATTATGATTGTTTAGGTAAATGGCATTATTTTCAATAGCGACTACAAGGAAATGATGTCAGCTCATGCTTGTGGTAAACTGGTCATATGGAAACATCCTAACTATACTGAGATAGCGAAACTATCAGGTACTTGTCCTGTTATAGCTGAAAAGCGGCTTGTAGGGGGTAGCATCAAACAATGCTTGTCGTTGGACATTTCATTTTCTCAGCTATTCAAATGAATGAATCATCTTTAGGTCATGCACCCGAGCGTGCGATCTCAATAGTTCAATCTCCATGTGGTCAGTTCGTGATGACTGCAGGTGGCGATGAAGCTCTTCGAACGTGGCATCCCTTCAAGGCGGGTTTTGTAATCATTTAATCCTTATCCTTCTCTTTATTCGAGGTCTATTTTTTGGGACTATAAAATGAGCTGTAGTTTACGTAGGGGAGCTGCAGTTAATATAGGATGAAGGCTGGCGATAAATTAGGTTTACGCCACATATTTAACATCTCTCTGAAAGCATTCCTGAGTCTGGAAAATTTTATGCGTTGCAGATTATTATGTAAAACTTTTATTTATGATGATCCACCTAGAGGGGTTATTGTGCAGAAACAAAGCGAAGCCCCATTTGTTATTTCATTACACTTTATCTAAATGATCTTCTTTCTCTGTTAATCACCTACAGCTGGGTGCGGGTGGCGCCAACAGCTGGTGGAAGTCTCAGTGCACTGAGGCCTGTCAGCGATTCTTTAACATACGTCTTTGGTGTTTCTCTTGTGTTTAACAGAAACTGTTTAACGGTCCTAGCTGCGACAATAGAACAACTCAACGTGTAGTGTGAGCGGACTTCTGATTCGACCAGTAGGTTAAAATGTCGCTCGCGAAACCAATTCGGCTTCAGAATCCTGAGATCTTTTCAAAATCTTGTCAAAGGCAATGAGAATTTCAACTAAGTTAGCTGTTACTTCAGGTCGACAAGAGTACACATCAGTTGGCACAACGCAGCAAAATGTTCAATTCACTGACTATTCGATAGTTTCCTTTTATTATGTATTGATGTATATATTCGTGAATATGTTGTGAAACGCAGTATCTCATAATTGAGCGACCTCCTTTTAAAGTACTAAGAGCTAAGCATTATATAATTAATAGTGAACTAGTTTTACAGTGTTTCATATGATATGCCTGGTTTTGAACCAGTGTGTTTACAGCACCATAACTCTATGTAGCTTTGATTAGTTTATCGCCATTTCTACTTGACTTCATTATGTGTGTATAGCCACTGATAAAAATTAAGGTCATAGCTGTTTTTTGTATTCAGTGGTGGAACAGCCAGGCCAGTATTGGATTGCTCAGGTGTATTCCATTCAAACAAATGCTATTTCATCCAGTGTCATTCACTGAATGGCTGGGTGATGGAAGGCAATTTGTGCGGATCGAGTGGTCGAACCCATGGACGACGACAGCAAGAGTGAACCCACGGTTAGTCCCAAACAGAAAGGTCAGTTTGAAGCTCACTCAGAATGCTTCCCCTTCATGGATTCTGTAAGCTAACTTGTGACAATTTTTCTTGTTTATGTCATAGTTCGAAAAGTTCTTTGATCTGTCATAATTCAATCGGAGTACATCCCACTTCCGCCTCGCCCTCCCACCTCCCCGCCCACAGTGAGAGCTGTTATTAAACAAAGAAATGTCTTGAGATATGCCACTGTCACTCTTCAAAGAGCAGAATGTGAGTGGGGATAATGGGATATTTGGGGATCTTGCACCACTTGTTCACTCTCTGTGTCTGAAATGCCTCTTTGGAAACATGGTCTGGCTTTTTAAGAACATGTTTTTTATGTTGTTTGCATCATGTTTTTTTGAACACCTGTATATTACTAGTAGTTTCCCCTTCCAATTCTTGTGCTAGTTGGGTGAGAATGTTGCAGTGGCTTGATTTGGGCTCAACCGGAGACTGACGAAATTGAGGTTGCTTGGTTTTTAGACCTTTGTCAATCTTCATGTCTCAAAGCAACCATCCATCAGCTGTTACTTGGACACATATTGCCGCCTCATAGTTTTTGTCTGTCACTTCGTAGCTCTTTGCTATCCTAGCACTACCCTTTGATGAAGAGATCAGTTGACTAAACACGTCTTTTTGCTAAGTCCTGCTTATGATACCGAACGGGTTCCATACTAACTCTGTACTTTCCACGGTATTCATAAAAAACTATTTTATTTGACTCTCGATTGCCCAAACATTGCTTTTTCATACACACACTTGAATTGTACGAGTGTCCTAACGGTGGTAGTGGACCTATCTCACCTGTTCCATTGTAGATTGCATCTCGTTTCTAAGAATTCTTTTTTCATGGTCGTAGATTTGTGACGGACTCAATCAGGTTTTTATGGCTACAATTCATCACCACTCCTCTGTAAACCCTTAACTATGGTTGTGCTGCTTCCACTTTGCGCCGCTGTAGTCCTTATCTCGTTGTCGGTCTCACTACTTGCTGTCGTTCCTTGTCATCTGTTGTCAAGCCGCTAGTACTCACTATGCCACGGCCTATCACATTTTCTAAAGGCTACATGACAACGAATTCTCGATTGATAAGTTAGTTCCACAGATTTTCGGGGTCCTCTACTCTTAACTAGTCCTTATTAATCTGTGCTACGTATCGTTTGCTAACAAATAGGTTTATACGTGAACACACGAAGAGCTATCCACCCACGTGACACCCAGGCAGGCATGCTCATTTATTGACGAGCACAGCAGCCGATGACATATGAAGGTCACGGCGGCCTGACCCATTCATTCGCTCTTCTTGTTGACAGACGTCACCATTGGCGGCGTGACAAAGCTTTCAGCTCGGACAGCAAATGCTCGATATGATTGAGACTTCGTTAAATATTCAGTTTTAACCTTCCCAACCTTCAGTCTTCAGAATAGGAAGCCATTTTTAGGAACTAGTATTTTAAAAATATCCTCACGTTATCTTTTTTAGAACTGCTATTGAGTTTGCGACTTGAATTCTCACTCTTGACCCCTGTCGTTTACCATCCATTACGTTTTCATCCGAATTTTTAAGTGCCACGGCGAAATAATTGTTTTTCATCTAGTCAATACTTATGATGTTAATTGTAAGTTAAATTTACGGCAAAACCGTTTCCTCTGAGATATATAAGTACATAGGGGAGGGGAACAGCATGCAGCAAAATGGAGCCTCTTGTTCTGATTTCTTTTTTATGACCTAGCTGCCGACTGAAGTGTTCAGAAATATTGGGGAGTCAAAGGAAGGTGTTTTAGTCATGAATCATTCACCAGCATTCTTGCTGTGCTGGGAGCGTCTTCTTTCTTTGTTTCTTAGCTGCTGTGGTCTCTTTCAAGCTGCCAAGATACCTAGCAAAAAACCCTTGTCTTTGCTTCAAGAATATTATATACAAGCACGTGCGATAACTCAAATTTCACCTCCGCTTGGACTGCGCCTTTTTTTGACTGTTTTTCTTAAGTTCATGTTCGTGTAACCAATATATCGAGAGACGCATTCTGCATCGGTCGGAAGTTTTCGATGTAAAATTTCCGAAAATCTCCGTAGAACATATTGCTGTTTTGTCTGCAGGGAAATAGTTTTTTTTTAGAGTTCTGTCTCCGTTGTAACCAAAGTGAAGGGGCTGAATCATCAAGTGCAAAACGTGGGATGAAGGACGAGGAGCACACTTCGTTCTGCAGATCTGGTGACGCCGTGGGGTGTGTTAAACTATTTTTTATGAGCGCTGGAAGTGCGGCCATAGTTCTCTTTGTCATCTTTCAGAATCGATGCTGTCGATTCAACAGTGAATATAGCAACTTCATTCGCCGAATTAAGGGATGCAAAACTACAAGAGAAGATCGCTTTTGTTCAAGCCATCGCACGAAGACAGGATGTGATTTTCGGAGACGGTGTTAATGTAAGTAGTTACGTTGTACTGCATCAAGTGGTTTTCTGTTTACCTACATCTCTTCTTCGACAGTAACGAAAGTACACATTTAGTACTCCATCAAAGCTAAAGAAGAAGCATGGAGAGAAGTAGCAAAAGAGGTGGAAGGAATGGGTTTGAAGTCATTCATTGGTAAGCTAATTGGTAGATTCAGAATATACACGTGAATCGTACCTCATTCTCAGATGTAATTCAAAGAATTCAGGGAAAACTTGGACGCGCTTACGAGATCATGATTGGCAGTATGTTCGACGTCATGCTTTGGCTCGTTGCGAAAATAATTACAGACCGTCTGGGAAGTTGGGGTAAGCTTTTGAAATTTTTGATATCAGTTTTTTGGTCTTACTGCAACTAAATTCTGCAGGGACCTGGACCGTCTTGTTTTGACGATTATCAGTAACTTCAACTCTAGACTCTCTGCAGATCACTGCAGTGAGCCACCACCATACGATACGGCTTTCGATGATCTTGAACTTACCAACGAGGTCTGATTTCACGATTTCAGCAGGACCTAGATTTGATTTGATGTTTTTTATTTGACTTCTAATTTTCGCTACAGTTTGCGATGCTTGGTTACTGATTTTTAACCGTCGAACGGTTACCGTGTAGATGCAATTCTGAACAGTTCGGGCCCATTTATACCACTGATGTACGAAAAGAATTTTTGATGTGATTACATTTTCCAGAGTCCCGAGATGAAGACGGAACCTGGTTGCTCGCTAGAAACAAACGTACTATCAAGTTGTTTTGACGAATCTGCTCGTTCTCAAGTGGCTGAGCGTTTATCTGATCAGTCATGGTCGGCTCAGTCTGGGAATTGTAGCGAAACTGGTTGTGCACACTTTCAAAGAACCAAGAGCGAAAGGGTTGCCTCCACTCCGCTTTTGCCACAGCGTGGAGTCTGTTCGAACAGGTTCGTCTCCAAGCTTTTCTTTGCTTTTTCCCCTTGATTACTAATCAAATAATTTACTCCCGCATCTTTTATGTTTGACCATGATTTTTTCATCTTTATGGGCCTTTATGTTTATCGTATACCCTACATTGGCTTTTTTGACATGTTTAATGTTCTACAGACCTATCTGTAACATTTTAGTTCATTTTTGACACCGGTTGAACGTAGCCTGAGGGCTAGGGCTCACAGCTCAACGCAGAACTTTTCGGATGTCGGTGATAGGGCAGATACGGTTCGTTATTTACCGGCTAAACGTCTAAGAACAGCAGATGGAACCAGGTATGACTCTAATATGGGGCGAATTGAGATGGGTATTAATTCGCTGTTTTACACTGATGCCCTTGCAGCGGTGACGACCACTACCTTCGAGATAATTCCGAGTTTTTGCATCGTAGACAACAATTGGAATTGAGAAGAATGGAGCTTGAGAACGAAAAACTTGAAAAGGAAATTCAGCATCTCATAAATCAGGAGAAAAGAGCCAGGGAATTGCACAATATCGAACTGAGACGAGCTCGGTTTCAGTTAGTGATGATGGGCGCGGATCTGCTGCAGGAACCGCAAAGAGAAGAATGAGCGTTTTCTGTTCATTGTCCTTGACATTTGATTCACTTCAATTTTCACATATAATGACTACATTCGATTGCTAGACGAATACCATTCCGCACATACAGAGATGTATGTGATGTAGAGCGATCTGACGCTTGTGATCATATTACAAATCAGGTGTTATAGTTTGGTTGTGAATTCAAATTATTCAAATTCACATTCACTATTAAATTTTAGGTGAAGTGAGACGATAGTGAGAGGTATATTGTAGTCCGACTGTAGCATTCACTCCTGGATCCACTTTTCCACCAATTCAAGTGCGGAATTCTTTCATGTATCTTTGCTTACTGGAGCTCGTGCCCATGGTTGTTATTGTGACCTCGCCCGTCCATCTGCCACCCTCATCCACCGGATAAACACGCCCGCCTACCCGTCCACTTTCCACACGCTCATCCATTGAAATAAACCTCATAATTTCACGACCTATTTGGTTTGTGCATCTTATTGGATCCCGATTTTTTGAAGCGGACCCTATAGCTTGATAATACTCTTGGGTTCCTTGATGACCCGATTTTCTCTGGTTTTAATTTCATGTCTGGTTTTGGTACTTTCTTTTCGGCGCTATGCTTTTCAACATTTCACACAAATCATAGGAACTAAGCGTTACTATGAAAGGTGAGTGGGTTGAGAGGACAGCTACTTTCTCTAAGACTTTTTTATCGGCTGTCTTTGGATGCCTGCTACGGATTGTAGCTGATAGGAGTGAAACCGTAAATTTTCTCTAGTCGAGTTATTTTTAATAACAACTCATAAAATCTGCAGTCTGAATGAATTTTTCATTAATTTCTTAGAAAATTATCTCTTCAATTCGCCCTATATACTCTTTTATACTCTTGTGGATACGAAGTATCTCTTTCCGTTTCACTCTATTTTCCGTGACATTCGTACCGTTACGTGCCAGCACTGTAAAAATTGTTTACATAACATCATTCGCGATTTGTTTATTGTTATTATTCCACGTGGGTGATGTTAGAGTATGTTTGTAAATCATTTCTGTTAAACGTCAATTGATTGAAACTTCATGATTCATGTGAAAAATAGTCATTCATAGCAAATTTCTTATCTCCGCCATCATAACCTACCGGTTTTGTGTTCAGATGAGTCATCCATGACACTGGCCAGTGTCCGAGGACCGGACCTATAGTCAGAGTACTTTTAGGACTCCTTTTTTGATAGATTCTCGTGATTCTATGTCATCACTTACTTATTCTATTCACCTCTAGATTGTTGATCGATTTTTATTTATATTTAATAAACAGTGAGCCTTGTAGAGCGTCAATTTGTGAGTGTCGTTGAACGATATCATATTTGAATTGTATTTGACTGCTTTGTTGCTTTATGCTCTAATCTTGCCGACTGCTTTTTAATATGTATGTTTTTTTTCCAATTCCATTTAAGGCGGCGCTTCGTACAAGCTGCCAATCTGGCCCGCCGTGGTTGTCAAGGGATCAAACGATAAGACAGCCCATCATTAGCTTCATCAACTTACCACTATCATCAACTCCTTCAAACTAGTCGTTGTTATATTTGTCAAATTATTTCCAAATGGAGGCGGCACGTACTAATGCTGACTGGTCTTTTCTCAACAAAAAACCCTTTGGGTTTATGATGTCAATGCAAACAGTGAGTTCTATCTTTGGTATCTCGCTATTTTGATAAAAACTTAATGTATCAAACTAATACTTAGTTCATACTTCGTTTATAAAGTATAAACACTTCGAGTGAAAATCTGCCGGAAGCGAGTTTCAGGAACATATTTCAATTATTTCAGATTTTGAGTCTCTTTATCGTCATACTAGTATTCTTTGCTCCATTCGTCTTTGAAGGTGTAGGATTTGTGAGTGCTTGCGCTTTCACCTTATTCATCTGTTCTGCAATATATAATCTGTTTCACGTTATGGGATGGAATCGGAAGGTTTGTTCCCTTTCATTTTGAAATATCGTTTCCCTTCACATTCTAGACGAGATTTTATTGAAAGAAAACAATTATCCTGTTTGTTTTTCCCTAGTGTAAGAGTTTCAGGTGATACAACTTCCCGGTGGTATCAACCTTTTCGTCCCTTGCACCTTATGGGTGAGTAGCGTTTCTTGTATTCGCGTTGGTTACCGTTACAATATTTTATTCCTGTTTTAAGGTGCTAATAATGTCGGCTATCTTCTTCGTTTTGTTTTCATTTGGAACTCTCATATGTTTGGTTGCATTTTTTGATTCGTTCCGCTTCACAGTCCTTCTGATAATTACTTACTTCTTTTTATCGGTGAGTTTTTCTCCTCTGGCAAGGAAATTTCCAATTTATTTTCACTTTTCGTGACTTTTTACTTGTATAATATTCCCGCACTTCTCCAATGAGAAAGAAAATGTTCTTAGTAACTTTACAACATAACGTGTTTTACCCACAGTGAAAGAAATGATTTTGAAATCGTCGGAAGAACTGGGATTTAGACATTTTTTTGCTTTGTGTTCACTCTCGGTAAATACGGAACAGAACATGGCATGCACTACTCCTGTTAGTGGTCGAAAGTCACGCTCAATTTTTCAGTTAACATGTGCCGCTGATGCTTTCATTTGTCTTCGTCTTGGCGTGCTTCTATTTCGAGCAGCACCTAACAGTCAAGTACTTGGTCTAACTACCGTATTAATAGACGGTGATAAAACATCGAGGTCAGTTTAATGAACTCTTGACTTGTAACTCAATCTAAGAGATCGTGAAAGATTTTGAGATTTACGTTTTGTTTTCATTTTTGATATGCACATTAGTTGAATCTTCTTCGAGAAAAAGCTGAGACTAGCAAAATAGCCAATTGAGCGTGCAGTATTCTGGTTTTCCACTCTAGAGTTTCAATTTTCTCAAATACTTCTATGATTCAAGGGTTAGAGTTGGGTGTGTTCGAGGATATCACATTCCATCATAGTGAAACCAAGAGGTAAAAGGGCGAGTTGTAAAAAGTCAAGTAAGTAAGTCGCTTTATTCCGAAGCTTCGCGCCTTCAGTGAAAACAAAGTTAAGCACATCT